AATAGAACTAGGTCCATGCCGCGGTATACGAATAACCTAACCAACGGTTACGTACGAATATACGTTATATTATCATTATATTATTATAACGCTGCAGTGTTACACATACGGTTTTACGAACTCGCCAGCGGTATGTGTACCTCGTACAGACATCGTGCGGGATCGAGTGTATAAATATACACTGTACACCATGTTGTGCATAGGACACAGGTACGTATGATAATATTTTAAATAATATATTATCATTACCGACCAGTAAATCATTGCATTTTACCTCATTAATTAAACGCCCGTCATTGTATGAGAAAAACATAAAAACCGCGGTGTGCGAACTTTTTATTTTCTCCCCATATCATTGCACAACAACCAATGGCGGCGCGCACTAAACCTATTAACGTGTCTCCGTGAAATAATTATATAATTACATTTATTTTTTTTTTGCGTTCACGCTCGTGTGCAAATCGATGAACCTAGATGTTTGTACAATGAAATCGAGAGAACAAATCGCCATCGTTTCAGAGAGAAAGAGAAAGAGAGTGAGAGTAAATACAAGTATAAATAGAAATCCCGGTGTGAGTGCAGTAGTATTATTATAATACATTAAAAACAAACGATTTATTGTATACGTATAACACTATATCGGTTTCTTTTTACTTTTTATTTGTTCAATGATAAACCGTTGTTCCGCGGTTGACGTTTAAAAACACGTTGAACCTTTTACACAAATAATAGGAAATGGTATTTGATGAAACGACAGAAAAAATTAAAAAAAAAGTAAATGCGTGCATACTTTCTGAGGTCACGCCCAAACCAGGAAGTGCTTTACACAATACGAATGAAAGAGTTGGGCGTCCAAAAGTTTGTTCGCGCGCACAGTGCCTTGTTTATGTTCGAAATATCATTTTAGCGAGGGCGAACTGTCAGGAACGCGTCATATTCGACGAAGAGTATTTTTTATACCTCTCCCACTCCACACTTCGCCCCTCGTCCATCTTCTTATTTTACTTATTTTCTCGATGAATTTTGAAACGAAACACCTGGGCGTTTTTAAGTGCTAAGTGAAGGGGCCTACATGTTTTCTCGGTTTTAAAAACGAGCCGTCATTTAAAAATTTGACAAACGTTTTGAGGAAAAAATAAAATAAAATTAAAGGCCTTTAAAAATAACCGACAAAAATTAAGTCCGGCGTCCGTATTTTAATGTTAATGAATACAGTCTTTTTTTTATCGGCTAAAAGCTATTATTAGCATAACTATATACATTTTTCAAGTTTACGAACGAGTTCACATCGTTTTTTACAAGTACCTTCATCATAATTTTACAGATAACGGAATAACCATATTGATATGTGTATATTTGTGTGACTGTGTCAAGTGTAAACGACTGTTGGTCTTTAGGATTATACCGACTGTACCTATAATTACCGTTTTGAGTAATTGCGATATATTAATGTAATCTTAGTGATATAATCGATTGCGGGTGTGTTCTTTGCATGTACAATGACGAAACATAAATACCAGTCCAACAAAATATAATATTTTAATTTACACAAAGACATATTTTTGTTTTTTTTAGCGTTACGCGCAACTGATGTCTCTGAACGAAGTATTTAGATTCGAAAATGACTACCGTTTTCACATTTGACAATGTTTATAATAAAAAAAAACCACGTGTTGATCAAATTCTGGAGACTTGAGTTTTTAAACGAAACTTGCAATCGTCTCGTTTGCGGCGGATAGCCGCAAATATATTACAAACAATGTTATATTATTATATTTATTTTTTTTTTATATAAAGTACTTTGTATTCGGTGTTTTTCGGCATACGAATTGTTGATTATTGTCACGGATTACAGGACAGGATGTTCATGCGCGTTCATCCGCCGACCGGCAATCGCAGCACAATAAAAACCAACAATTTAACGACGCATCATATCGTAACGGTTTTTAGATTTTTTTTTATTCGCTGAGCCCTTAAAATTGCTAAAACGCCACTTACAATAATATACGATGATCTGCTTTTTGATTCGATTCTTTACCATTCTTTATGTATTGGTTCAATATTATAATATAATATTGATTTAACACTATCAATACCATTGTATCCTGCAAGTTATTTTCGGACGGTACGCTTTATACCCTTTCGTATAATATTCATAAAAACGTAACAATTTTGAACGAATAATAACTTTTAAATTTGAATGTGTGGCACTTCCAGACCGATTTCGCGTAGCCCTATAGTCTATGCGTGGAGCACGCATTGTGGACCGTAAGTTTGAGTAGCACTATTGAGCAACGGTTAATCGGATTAATGCGAACGCGTCGTAGACCGATGAGAGCTTACACGGACTGAGAATATACTATACGTTGATAATTTAATTAATTTAATAACGTTGAAAATTTTGTCGTATAGCGTCCGCGGTTGGCATACGTAGGACGCGATGACATATTTCTTCGGAGTACTCTAAATTATTGCAGGTCCATTGAAGTTTACGAAATATTACCATTAGATCGACATTAATCACAACGGCTTTTAATTCAATACGATTAGATTACATTGTGACGTCTTGATGTTACAATGAGTTATATCTATTTTTAGAAAATTGTTTTGCATTCAGTTAAAAATACGCCATTTCTCGCGATCAAAATGCACGCGTTGCTCATCGCGTTAATAATTTTTCTTTTAACTTTCGTTCCGGTAATTATAACGTTATAAGGCGACAAAGAATGGGGTGTGAAATAAATATCTTTATCGTTTTACGAGCATAAATTATCGATTTTTCGGGGCGCAACGAAAAAGTTTTGCGGAGACGCGATATGGTATATAGAGCAGTAGTTCCCAATCAGCGGTTATGAGTAGTAGTGTTTCGTTTTTATTTTATTGTATTGAAATTATTCAATTCGTAGTCGTTTCTCGGGTATTTTTCGGACTGCCGAAACGTTATTTGGCACAACTTATAAAGGTCGGTTCTCACCGGTCCGGGTTGGAACCAACCCGGGTTTTGTTTAGAAAAACGTGAACTTATCGATTTTGTATGTGACAATTTACACTCGTTCAAGGCGGGCCCGAACCGGGCGCCGTGCCGGATACGGTTCGATAAAAAATTATTGTAAACAATTTGCTCTCCGGGTTCCTGGACGGATTTTCCAAATAATGCAGGTCTAGTCGGGTTGCGATGACTATGAGAAAGCTGAATTGTAAGTTGTAAATTTAATGTCGTAAACCCGGAGGTGCTCGTTTCGTATCACGAACTCGTCTCGTGGTGGGAATCCACCTTAACCGCGAACAAGATTTTTCTACCGGCTGTTACATGAAAATCAAATATCGTAAAAGATCTTAATGTCGACGTCGGTTTAATGATGAAAATATCGAGCGCGCAGCCGAACTTGGACGAGATTGTGAACGAGAAATAAACGTTTTGATCGTCTCCTTAAGTTTAAGTAAACAGATGTAATGAATAATTTAAGTAACTCAAGTGTCAAAAAGGTAATTGCAATAAGGTTGCATGCAAAGCCAAGTGTTAAATCAAATGAATCCCTTTAAATTGTAATATTAAAAAAAAATATAGACGTTGAAATTATTATACGAGTAAAAAAAGGTACGTGAATTTAAAATAAATCATAAGCATTTGTTTTTTTTTAATTTTCATAACTATGCAATGTTGAAAAGTAAGTGGTTACAAAAAAGGGATCCTCAGACCAATTCACGCCTTAGCCAGGGGGCCCATGGCTTTACACCGATTGGAAACTATCGGTGTAGAAGCTACGATGACCCAGTTTTTGTCACGTTTGATTCGCACTCACTTAAAATCTTCAAACGATATCCGGGATGCCAGGCCCGTGCGCAAGGATCGTCCAAGGGAAGAGCGGTTCAGTGTTATATATGTTATATTAGGTGAGGAGGCGATGAAAAAAATGAAAAAAATACGCGTTGAATAATCGAAAATATCGAGATTTAAGATCGAACAAAAGCGTCCGAACAGTTTAAAAAGCTGACTCGTCAGTGAAAACGCGTTCCGTCGATGGCCGCATTTTCAACTGATGGTAGGTGGGAAACGCACGAAAATTCAACAGGCGAGTCGAGAAAACAAGCACTGTTAAAGCAATAGCAGACAAAATACGTACGCGTTTTCGAGTCGGCTTAACATTTAAGGGACGAGGAACAGGCGTGTTCTTGGTAAAGACGTATGTCAGAAGATCCTTAATACTGATGAGGATGTTCGTAATCCTCCAACCACCCTCTCCCTCGAGTGAGGGACTGCGGGACGCAGTAGGTTGACCGGCGTCTTATCCCGCCAGACTTATCGGTTCACCGTGATCATAAAATCCACTGCGATGAGCGCGAGGTCTGACAACGCCCGCGACCGTCGTGTACCGATAAGAGATAAGCGTGCCGCCGCGCGTACGTGACCGCACGAGCATTAAGTTCGGTGTGCGGAACGGCCGACGTTCAGTACCGTCTCAGCTATGGCCCGTAACGTTTTCACCGTAGCGCTTGTGTCGTATTGCTGCGCGGCCGCCGCAGCCGCCGACCGCATGTCGTCGCCGTTCCGTTTAGCCAACGGGTTCGCCGCGACCAACGGCACCGCGGCCAATGGCACAATGGACGTGTTCCGATTGCTGGCCGATGTGACGCCCGTGTCGTACGAGCTGCGCGTGGCTGCCGACTTGCAGGCGAACTTCACGTACGACGGCCGCGTGGACATCGTGGTGCGAGCGGTTGCGCCTGTTTGTCGCATCACGCTCAACGTCAAGGACGTGCGGGTGACCGCAGTCCAAGTGCTCCATTGGAGTTCGAGCAATCCGCTGACCGTGGCTGGCCACCGTCCGTCGGACGCCAACGAGCAGCTGACTATTACGCTCGACCGTTCCACCGGGTGCTTGATACCCGATCGCCTTTATGTGGTCACGTTGGCCTTCGAGGCGTCGCTCCGGGATGACATGATCGGCTTCTACAAGAGCTCGTACCGCGAGGACGGTGTTACCAAGTACGGTACTACCGCGGTTACCGACCTCCGTCGGCGGCGTTCAGCGGTGTGTTTCACGCGTCGGAAGCATATTGTCGTGGTGTGGATATGCGGTGTCGCGATAATATTCGGCGCCTTCCTACAGCAGCACAAACCACCCCCTCCCCCTCCAAACTTATGTTTTTCTATACGTGTTCAAACACCCCGGAATAACGCCCCGACGGACAATTTATGTAATAACAATAAAACATCGAAAATAAATATATCTAATAAAAAAGTTAACAGACATTATTATTATTAATCGAACACGCGTATCAAGCCGTATCCGCGAATAAGTCTCGTTGTATGCATGCAATTTAAAATAATAAAAAAAAAAACGTTTCTGCGCGTAAGATTGTTGAAAACCAACTAGACACATCTGACTTCAAACACATCGTGTTGGATGAATTCTTTTGATTTCACTACATTTTTTTTTCAAAATAGAACTAGCTAGAGTCTACATGACCCTTGGGTCTGCGATTGACGTGCGTTAGATTTTCCATCCGATACCGGTTCTTCGATATTATGTGTATACAATTGGTTACGTCGATCAATCGCTTTCCAAACATCGTTTGTGCTCGTATAATGAGCGTTTTCGAATATTATTAGATACATAATTAAATTATAATTACATTCAAGGTGTGACAGTTAAGTTTTTCGAGAATTCAGTTATAACTCGGGAATGGGCCACAGTGGGTCGTTTGTAAACATATGTGAGATAAGAGACGATCTTTTTTATCGGCAGTCGAAGTTTTGAGTCAAAAAGTCGGTTTTTTGTGTGCTTTATGCACGTTTTTCAAAATCAACTTTTGCAGTCACGTCGTGAATATCAGTAGCTCACATCGCAAGCAATATGCTGTGATCCAATTTTTCGTTAAATATGACGAAAAACCCTAAGAAATTATCCGAAAATTATAAGCGGTATCGGAGGCATGTGCATGTCGAAAAATCACATGTTTGTGAACTGGTAAAGTGGTTAAAGGTGGGGCGTGAAGTGATAGATAACGACCCACGCGAAAGAGCTCCCGTCATCACTCGTACCGATGCAAACGTCAACCGTCAGCACGCGCTTATTACAAGGGATTCGTATATATATATTATAAATATTTAAAAATATTAACATTATTATCGTCACGTGTTATTTTTTTCAGATGGTTGGCCGTGACTAAATTCGAACCTACGTACGCTAGAAAAGCGTTTCCCTGTTTCGACGAGCCCGCGCTGAAAGCGCCATTTAAGGTTTCAATCAAGAGGCGATCACATGAAATATCTCTGTCTAATATGCCGCTGTTGAACTCGACAAAAATGTAAGCATACAATACCGTCGCGATCAGATTAATGACAGTTTCCGCAATGAACTTTTACTGTTGCACAACACTGCTGAGCACTACATTAACGGGTGAATGGGTGGCTCATGATTATTTTATGTGATCCAAACAATTTTGGTTCGACAGGGCGTTCAACTTGTCCGCGTTGACCGTGTAGTGTGTATCTTAACGAAACACCGTGTACAATCTGTACGTTTTTTTTTTTTTTTGATCTGAACCGCAGTGAAGGCACGGACATGTACTGGGACCATTTCCAAGAGACGCCACCTATATCGCCGTACTTGGTAGCGTTTTTCGTGGGTGAATTCTACGCGATGAAAACACGCACGATAGGCATATACACGCACAGGAAATACGTGACACAGGCCGCGTACATAGCGGACACGTCGCCGTTGTTACTCGAAGCGATGGAGAACTTTATCGGAGTGGACTACGAGTTGCCTAAATTGGACTTGCTTGCGATCCCTGATTTTTCGGCTGGCGCGATGGAGAACTGGGGATTAAACACGTACAGGTAACGAAAACGGCTAACCATTGGTCGGCGATTTTTTTTTACAGGCATTGGATCAATTAAAACGACCACCTTATCCGGTGTTAAAATGAATAAATCACAAATCAGAAAAATGATTAACCGTTACGTTAAATTTTAACGGTTAAAAGATGATATTTTTTTACTATGAAACGTGATTTCTCGCATTGCATTGAAATTCATAAAACTTGAATTATAAGAAGTAACATGTTACAAATTCTAAAAGTATATAATAAGTCGCGATTTTATCGACTTTATATACCTAATGATAAACTTTTATTTTGAAACCAGTCGTACGCATAGATAATAAAGAATGGATAGGCCATTTATGCTTATCATAAGGGAATGAATATGAAAATATTTTGAGGTTATAGAAGAAGTCTTAACACAAATAGATAACAGAATTAGGATCTAATAATTTTATTTATTTAACTTTAAAATTGTCGATATGTCAATATAATATATTATAAATTATAATATTAGTGTATGTACTATGTAAGTTTATAAATTAATAAATAATAATAGAACAATTAATACAATAGGTATTTAAGTATATTTTAAATCTTCATAGATAATATCTTTAATATCTATGTTATACGTAGTTAATATAAATCATTCGTGTCTGAAATGAACTAATTTCATCAATTATGACCTTGTTTTTCCAGATTTTATATTTACATAATTTATTTTACGTGGCTCGTGGAAAACTCTAATGTCTACATATGTCACAGCAATTAAATTAATAAGTTTATTTTGATGAGTATCTAAAGCAATATATATTTATAATAAATAATAATATTTAATATTATGTATTAATGTTTTATTATAATTTATAATTTCCAATATCTATTATCTATGCGTCCAGCAATGATAATAATCACAAAATTTAATATTTGATAAGACCTCTGCTAGAATGAGAGGTATTGATAAAATCTGTCTTTCTTTCTTCTCCATTCCGACACACTTCCCTCTATTCGATTAATATAGCAATGGCCTATTCATTCTTTATTATCTATGGTCTAACGTTACAAACATTATACTCCGGAAATTTATTTACTTATTTATTTATTTCTATATATAATTTATTTGTTTATTAATTTTTATATTAATTTATGAGTACAAAACATAAACCAACTTTTAATTTTAATTCAATTTTTTATAATTTTAATACTTATATGAGTTGTTTACAAAAAAAAAAAAAAATTGATACTGCAGAAATTTTGCTTATAATATTGTTCAAGACACTATTTGTTTATTTTAAGGCAATAAAGATTAAAGGAATGTATATACAGGATACGATACACATTTATATTTATACAGCTGACTAAAACAAAAACATTGTATATTTTTTGTATGAATTATGTGTATAAGATAAGGGCAATTGAAAAATAGTTAAATAAATATTAGTTTCGACTAAAGGTTGAACTAAAATTAAAACATGAATATTTTATCAAACGTTTTTAAAACTCAAATATTCCATAGAAATATTTAAATGAGAATTAATTTCACTGCCATAAGAAATACTAAAAATAATGATGAGATAATAAACCATTTTCAATAATATTCTATGTGTATAAAAAAGAATCGAAATATAAATACACAAAATTATTTCCCAACTTGATTGTAATGCCAAACCTAAATGAAATATACGAATTAATAAAAATTAATCAAAATGTTTGAAATAAATAAATATAAAATTTTATATTAAATTATTATGTTAGTAAGATTTAATCTAAATAAAAAGCAATAAAGCTCATAAGTTAATAGGGATATTAAGTTTTGAAATTATAAAGTACTATATAAACATTGTAACTCGATGTATTATAATGTTTATTTATTGTCGGTAGAGAGAGACTGTTGTTGTTGAGTGATAATTCTAAAACTAAAACGAAAGAGTTCGTAACAACGGTGGTACAACACGAATTAGCACATCAGTGGTTCGGAGATTTGGTGACTTGTGAGTGGTGGGACTATCTATGGCTGAACGAAGGTTTCGCGACATTCTTCGAATACTTAGCGACCAAAACGGTAAACTGAAATTTGGTAAGTTCTCATGTGTCGGTTTATTGTACGTGATGGGGTAACAGGTGAAACCGGATTGGAGGTTGGAAGAAGTGTTTGTCATAGAAGTGCACCAAGTGGCTCTGGAGTATGACCAAAAGCCAACACATGCTATATCGGGATCCGTGAACACACCGGACGAGATCAGGGGTATGTTCGATGACATATCCTATAGTAAAGCGGGAGCTGTGCTCCGAATGTTACAGTACACAGTGACGGAAAAGAATTTTAAAGAAGCGCTGAACTTTTATTTGAAGGCTAACCGGTAAACGAAAACGAATTTCTTACTATAGAACTCTTGATGAACACTTCGATTGCAGGTACGAAGCGGCCACTCCGGAAAAACTATGGAACGCGTTCGAAAACGTCCTGTACGAAGCGGATTATGAATTGGGTGAAAACGTTAATGTTACTCTGTTTATGAATTCTTGGACTGAACAGGTTGGATATCCGTTGGTTACGATTTCCAAAGTGAACGACTCGTTATCAATAACTCAAGTAAGTATTAGCTTCAATAACGCATAAATGGTTAATGATTATAAACCGAACGTTGTGTTTGTTCAGGAACGGTTTTCGGTCGTAGTTTCCAATGAAACTGACGCGACGAAATGGGTAGTTGGTTTGACGTACACGACGGAAAGTGAAAAAAATTTCGGAAATGTTTCTCCCAAATTATGGTTGATAGATAATATGAATATTTGGCCGATTCTAAACGGATCCGAATGGTACATTTTCAATCTACAGTCGATAGGTAGTGCACACATTTATTGATTCGTAACTAATGCTGACATACGAAATACTTATGAATCGACGCTATAGGATTTTTTAGAGTGAACTATGACGAAGACAATTGGAAAGCCTTGGCTGAACAGCTACACAAAAATCCTAATGACATACATGTACTTAACAGGGCTCAGTTAATCGACGACGCGTTTAATTTGGCCAGGGTTGAAAAATTAAATTACACTTTTGTACTTGATTTGACAGAATATCTAGAAAAAGAAAACGACGTGGTACCGTGGTATTCGGTTAAAAATGGGTTTTCTTACCTAATTGATCGGATGAGACGATGTCCACATAGTTATAAAAATTTCAAAGTAGGTCAATATTATAAATGTTTCTTAAAAGTAAGTGAACATTAGTGTAATAATTGTTTTTGTTTTAGACTTATCTTAGCTATTTGGCTGGAATGATTTATACGAAAACCGAAAATTTAATATTAAAGCAACAAAATGAAGAACACTCCGTGAAAACGGGTTGGAACGCTTTCTCGAATTGGGCGTGCGAATTGGATAACGAACAATGCACGAAGTCAGCATCATTGTACTTTGAACAGTGGCATCAAGGAAAAATGTAACCTATTCGAGAAATAGGTTTTATCATAATTTCATTTTTCGCATTTTTCCATTTGTTTTTCAGAATACCTGCCGACATAAAAGATGCGGCTCTTTGCGTTGGGGTGAAAAACGGAAATTCGGAAATATGGAACGACGTTCTCAACGTTTATATTAATTCTGAATCGGCGTCTGATCGTCAATCAGCTCAATATGCTTTAGGTTGTTCGAAGGACTCAACCCAATTAGCCAAGTAAATTATATTTATTAAATTTGTAAAAATTTTCATAAATACAGTCTTCTTCTGTAAGTTTGTTCCCATTAATTTTCTCGTACAAACATTTAAACAATACATTTTGATAATTTAACTATTCGTCATAAAATATCATTATCAACAATTACTTGTTTAGATATTTAGATTTCATGTTCAAAGGATATGATGGTCCAATTCTTCCGCAAGACTTCAGAGTTATTTATCGTACATTAGCGTCTTCTGTCGAGGGCATTTCGGCGTTAATAGAATTTTTGACCAACAAATTGGATAGGATTATAAACGAAATAATTAATGGTGAACAAGTCGCTACGTCTATATATTCGTTGTTGGCTTCGAAGGTGGCTCTCAAAGAAGAAATCCAAAAAGTTGGTTGAATAACTGTAGTATTCTTACTGTTTCATAAATAGTTGTTCGTAAATATTACTTTATTTTTCATTGCATACAGATCGATGAATTGAGAAGCAACCCACTGGTGTCAAAAAATCTGCAACGAAAATTCAACTCTTCATTCGTTGAAGTAGAAGACAATTTTATGTGGTTTAAGTCGAACCATCACTTAATCGGCCAGTGGTCAAAAGCTGCAGTTCACAGACTCGGATTAGACAGCCCAGTCACCACCCCTAAAGTACCAATTGCGCCCATACCAATTTCCCCACCTATTGCACCTGAGTCTTCGAGTGCATTCTTAATTAAACAAAATAACTTTATTTTACCAATACTATTGTCATTGATATTCAGTATATTTTATTCGTTTTAACTAGAGAAATTTGCTCTTTATGAGTTTTGAAGTGTACAATACATTGTTTATTACATAAGATAACAATGTAATAATAATGTATTTTTCTTGTAATAATTTATCATTTAATGTTGTTATTATTCATTAGTTATATTAATTTTTGGAGAGTATTTTGTAATTCGCTGAACTTAAGACTATATATCTTTATATTAAAACGTTATAAAGAAAGTTATGAATAATTGTATTATTCAAATTTATAATAATCTTATTCTCGGTTATTGTATTTTCTCCTTTATGGAGTTAAACTATTTTTATGGAATTAAATTATTTTTTACATAAAATGTGTTTGCGGTACAAAAATTCAAAGTGAGAGCAATATTGGATTTAATGTATTTTTTTTTTTTTTTAATATTCGAGTGATGTTTGTCTACTCGTTTTCGATCAATAGGAGGGGCTCTGATCATCATAATCATTAAAAATAAAGTGATGGTGTGTAGTTTGATTTTAAGATATCTATATTATTGTATTATAATTTTAATTTCTTAAAAGTTATCATGATAACTGAAAAAAAAACTATTAACATTTTTAAAGAATTTCAACCGAGATCGTGTTTAAAATTCTGCATAGACCATTATTTTTTCACGGTCAAAGTGCTAAAATAAATGTAATGATCGTTTGACATGGTTATCTAACTTATGTTTTATTTTTATCAAGGTAATTTTTATTATCAAAATTACTATAAATCGAGTTTCATTTTATTTTAAAATAGCGTTAGACCGCCGGTCACATAGCAACCCTGGTACTCAAGACGTCAGTCTGTATAGGCCGTTATAACGATACTTTTTCAATCAGAAGTTTTTTTTAGTGTTATCGAGAAAAGCATAACAATTAAATTTGCAATTATATTTATTTAAATTATATTTATTTTAATTCTATTTATAGAAGTGCATTTGCATCACATAGTATTTTTTGTTTTTCCTTTTCTGGTACGTATACAAATAAATCAAAAGATTTTCTGCCGCGTGAGCAGGTCTTACACATTTGTTCGTGTGAGAAATAGTGAAGAGCAAAACAAGACCAAGAATATGATAGTCTTGATCTTGTTCTTGCAGACTTGGTCTTGCAGAGTCATTATAATGTTGGTCTTGGTCTTGGTCTTGGTCTTGTTACAAGACTATTGCATCATTTAAAATTAAAAGAAAAATAATTATATCCTTATCTAGGCTATGAGTTTCTAGAATTTTATAATTTTTTATTATATCCAAGATATAACTAAGCTAGTACAACATAATTGTTTTATCGTTACCGTCCCAAACACTGAGGTAAGTGTACGAGTCACTAATACCACGACAATCGACACAACAATTTTACTGTATTTCACGAATAGCTCACAAAATAAATACATACAAAACCTGTATAGTAATACCCAAGTATCAATTATAATTGTTTTATGTTATATATAATATATTAAATGTTATTAGAATAAAATTTAATCGAGAGATTTATTTACGAAACTAAATAAATATTTATAAATATACCGTATGACGTGGTTAGTTAACAGTTTTTTAGTGAATAACCACTGCGTGTCCATTCCTACTCTTTTAAAAACTATTTTAACTAATAGAAAGACCCCTTCTTTTAAATCAATGTTCTCCCCAGTTACTCGCCTAGCAATGGGAGCGTTACCTAGGATATAATACATGTGTTATAAAACAGTATCTATTCATATAATTGCACATCTCAGATTTATTTACCAGTATTATAATTACTGTGTTTCTAAAATCACCGTACATTTATAGGACCATTAGGAACATTAAAAAGAACAAATATAAACTGAAATAATTTTCTTTAGATTAAATAATTGGGTGTACTTTATAGTAAAATAAAAACAGTTAATAACTTGCATAGTAAAAACAAAACTTAAAATCATTTTAACTTCTTATATATAAGTTACATATATTTAAGTTAAAACATAATACATATTTAACATTAATAATTCATTTTTCTTAAAAAAAATGTACAGTAAATAATGTAAATTATAATTCACATTTTAATAAAAATTATTTTAGACATTGGTTAGAGTGAATGAGGCGACTCCCAGTTCCAACGAAAAAATTTAGCTGCAGTACGCAAAAAAAATAGTAGATTAAAATCCCCCTGTGAACCCCCTTCCCAAATCGAGCATGCTACATATATATACGTATAGATTACAAGTCTGTGGTTTGTTTAGACATTTTGACTTAATCAAAACCGCACATATTGAAATTTCGTTCACGTAAACGTTGAGCACGAATGTTGTAGTCGAACAAAAGCGGTGTTCGAAGAAGTGTCAGATGACTTCTCTGGGTCTCCAGTGGAACGGCGGACCGGGGAAGCCGGCTGGAACGGCCACGTACGTTTGGCCCGTCGGCCGTGGGTAACTGCGAACGCCGCAGAATGCGTTGTCCGGCAGGGCGGGTGTGTAGCCGGGCTTCGAACTGCGATTACTCCGTACTCTTTTGCCGGTTCGTAAAACTTACGTTGGATGCTTTCGGGGCCTCTTTCCACCCCTCTGTTGCCCCTATTCGTCTGGAACCGTGCCGCGACCACCTTGGACGAACCACGTGTCTCAAGGGCCACATTTTGGGGGAGACTGGCTACAACGCCCCGGTTGCCAGTTTTTTGGGGGCGCCAACATTTTGTGGTCGGGAATTTTCTCACTTTTTGCAGGGTTTTCACCTCGTCCGTATGGCGATTTTATTTTCCAGATGGCTGGCCGTTACCAAATTCAAAGGGTTAAACACGATTGCGTACGTTAGAAATCGGCGATACTTTTTAAGCTACACGATTCCGTACGATTTTACCTGATTTTTAACTACACGATTGCGTACGAAGTTTTAAACATTGATTTAATGTGAAATTGGAGAAAACTGTCAAGGTTATAGGATTATAAAAATTAAAAACGATTATAAATCATCGCATTCGATTAGAACGTTTAGGTTTTTATAATACTACGAATGCATGTAGTTTAAAACGACCATTTCTAAAATTCCGTTGTAATACGTAATAACTCAAAGACTAAATCAGATACAAACATATCACGGTTAATAAGAACAGACATTTATCTGTGAAAACACAATACATATCCTCAGAAAAAAATAATAATTAAAATGAAGTCGAATAAAATTTTCAATGAATAATATAATTGCATAACTATTACATCCATTACTTATGCTAGGAACCTAACAAATTAACTATACCATTATTGCATGTAGTCTACAATCATTGACATGGACTTTAATGAATGAATGATTCTTAGCATAAAAATAGAAAACATTTATTCATGAATACGATTTATTTAAAAATGGAATCGAATTCTGTCAAAACGATTAGCCATTTATAAAAATATCAATTAAAGCATTTAATATTGTTAGTTTCTTTATTTATTGTTGACAGATATAAATTATTGTTGTTTACTGATAATTCTAAAACAGAAACGAAAGGGTTCGTAACACACAGGTACAATACAAAATAGTACATCTATGGTTTGGAAATTTAGTGATGTGTGAGTGATGGGACTACCTATGGATGAACGAAGACTTTGCGAAATTCTTTGAATACTTAGCTATCAGAATGGTAAACTGAGATTAGATGAGTTTTCACTCGTCAGTTTTTTTGTACGCGATGGGGTTACAGGTGAAACCGGATGGGAGGTTGGAAGAAGTGTTTGTCATAGAAATGCTCCAAATGGCTCTGGAGTTTTCTCGAATTAGGCGTGTGCTTATGCATTTAAAAATTTTTTCTGTTATCTCATGGATAAATTATTTTGGTAAACGAATCATCCAAATGATATAGATAAAATATTGGTCTAAGAAACTTGAGTGTAAAGTTAGTAATACTAATTAATATTATTATAATTTTATTGACTTTTCAGATCTTATTGGACATTTGTTTTTATGGAGACATAACAATTTTGTTATGTTTTCACTAGTCGTATTATTCTTATTTATATTTTTTAGTATTATATATATAATGCAATATTGCATTGAATTGAATATTAATTATGTACCACAATATAGCACTATTGCAATTATATGCACTATAAAACTAAACGGAAATCTTGAATTTTCATTTTTCTAATACAATCATATTTTGTTTTATCTATACGAGTATATGTATTTTAATTAAAATTTTTGGGAACACTTAACCGATTTAGGTTTTTTTTTATAATTATTTGTTGTCGTATATAGAAAGTATTTATGTAAAGTTCCTTATCGAATGATTCGAAATCATGGTAATCTAAGAAATGAACAATCAGCTTGCTGTACTCTCTCAACTCGTATTATTTATTTTTACTAATGCCTATTGTAATATTGATTGTATATATTAGTCGTCGTTACTGACATTTTTACTTACTTATCTTCATACTAAATTGTGTATTATCTTAAGTGTTTAAAAAGTAAGCCCTATTTATAAATTATCATTTCGATAGTGAAGAAAATTAATACGACATTAATCGACCACGTAAGTAATATGTCAGTTATGCTAATTGATTTTGAAAATTTGTCGGTTCTTTAAATTGTAATTTAACTTTTTAGTAAACGACGTGATAGAATTTTTTTAAACGACTCTTGTTCCTCCAAAAGTAAAATCGAAAAGCCTCCTTATGTGTTTATGTATTTAAATACTATTGGGTTATAAATACTATAATTTTAAAAATACAACCGATTTAAATTCAAGTTTTATTATTACTGAAGAACTGTAATATTTTAAATTACTTGACTATCAAATACTGACAAGGTTATATATATATATAAGTTAGTGAATAATATTTTAGACATGTGTATAATATAGAAATTAAAGTAGTATTGAATTTTTATGATCAATCATATTCTTATATTTTTGTAAGTTCATTATAATCAAATATTACTGAAAAATTAACGGAGATCCGATAAAGTCACGTTATTCAGGGGAACTTAACTCACTGCGAATAAAATTAAGTGATGATTGAAAAATGAACTAGGTTCAATATTATATTATTTTAATAAATTGTTGTTATATTGATCAGTGGAATTATCATATTATGCTAATAAAACTGTCAATTCCATCAAAATTACGGAATAATTATGCATAATAATACATTAAAACGAAAAATAATGATAATTATGATCGTCAATTAAATAATATTATTGGAACGCAAGACTGACGGCACTTCTTAAATATATGTTTTAACACGATGGAAAAAATATATTTCCGTTGCATAATCAATAATTTGTTGTTCTATCTCAGAGATACGTTTGTGGTAATATTTTATCGATATTTATCTAAAATCTTAATGTTGTATGCCAAGGAGTAATTTTAAATTTCTCTGTGATTCTCAATATAACTTTGAGCTAATTATTTTGATTATTATATAGTACAAGTAACAGATAATACACAAGTTGATACGGTTAATCATTTACCGTACGGATTGTATCCCGTCAAACCGATACTAAACCGATCCATATCACGGATGGGACTGTCCAACGGGATAATCAAACTTTTTGGATGACATCTAACCAACACGTTCTACATTTCAACCGCACACAGGCTATATGGGGCACGATTATGTCTACGCGCGCAGTAATAATCTCGCGATGTCCGTCTGTTTCGGAATCGTCTTAACACCACGTGGGTCCTCGTTCCTGGACGAGAAAAATGCACTTTTATCGGTGGTCGCGGGGTGACCGTTTAGATTCACCGATCGATTGCAACGTTCACGCAACCCGTGGCGCACGATCCGACCAAATCGCATCCAAATGGTAATCGTAAGCCGTTCGTCGCACGGACCGAGCACGCGTTTCCGTCCGGATATTGAATTACGATTTTATTACGGCGCGGAGAAACCCCTTTTTATTCGGCGCGTGATGAAAACGTCCCGTTTTCGTCCCTCGAACGGTGTTTTCGGAAAATAACATTTTTTGAACACTTTCTAACCGCGGTAGGCCGGTCGACGGACGTGCATACGGGGTTGTAACGTGCGATTGCCTCCGGGACGAACGGAATCGCGTATGGTGGGCGGGGAGAGGAAAAAAGGTCCGCGAACGTTTTACGGGGTCGACAGCCACGTCGGGGTGAAAACACGTCCGAGCGCGCGTCACCACCGTCATGACGATTACGTGTCGCTTGCGCAACCGACCGTTGCGGTTGTTATCGCGCGACGGCCGACCGCGTTCGGGGACAAGATAACGCGATTCGACGGGTTCCCGGTGTCCGGGGTCCGGAGCGCGCGCGTGCATTGCACTCAAACGTTACCGGTCGCGAGGACGTGTCGCGGACGAGAAACCACCAACAGTACTACCTACCGCCGGTACAATCCGATCGGCCGCTCTCCAACGCAGTGATCGTCGTCCGAGATCCGTTGCTGTTCACTGTAGCCCCAACGGTCCTCTACCGACCGTCCCTCTCACGCGACACCACTGTGTGTAGCAGCTCCCGGTGCCCACCATGTCTCTCCGGCGCGCTGCATCGATCTTCCTGTGTGCCTTGGCGTGCGTCCCGCTCGCCCCGGCCGAGGAGCAGCGCACTCGACTGCCGGTCGGCATCACTGAGCCGGTGTCCTACGACCTGACGTTCATGCCCACCCTCAAAGGCGCCGGGTCCACGTTCACCGGCCGGGCCGATATCGTCGTCGACGTGCGGACCAACACGGAAACGGTCACGCTAAACCTGAAAGACCTGACCGTCACCAACGTGTCGATAACGGACGTGCGGACCGGAAAGGACGTGGCCGTGAAGGACGTCCGGTACCGTGTGGCTGACGAGCAGGTGGAGATTCTCACCATACGACCGCTACTCCAGACCAGGCGTTACAGGTTGTCGATCCAGTACGGGGGCGCGATCAGGACCGATATGACCGGATTGTACCTGAGCTCTTATCAGGAGAGTAACGAGACCAGGTGAGCAAAACACCCGCGTGAAATGTGCGCCTAATGTTGCGCGCACGACAACCACTCGGGTATCCGGCCAGGGCCGTCGGCGTGCGCGCGAAAGAAACATAGAATTCGCCAAGTCGACGGCGGACCAGGGTGGACGGCCTATTCCACGTGGATTCTTTGCTTAATGAACGGTGAAATCTGTTCATTTTTGTATCTTGCACTCGGAAATCACATCATGTTCTCTTTTAGATGTATTCACGGTTTATTAAAATGTCCAGGAACACTGGCTCTTCGGCTGATGAAAATCGCTGTCACGCTAAACGCTTCTGTGGAATACCTAGAGACAGTAGCGCATTGAAATGGTTTTTACGACGCCCAGGCGTCATGGTAAAAATTTTATTGTGGGGGAGGGGTGGAGTTGTGTGGTCGGATTTAGATGTGTAAAGATTTTGGACGAATACACACTTAGCGAATTTCCAAGTTTAAACATACATATAATCAACACGAAAACCAATGCAGCAGCGGAGTAAACGATATTCGATAAAAGTATAACACACGACGATTAGATCAAAAATTCTGTATTGTTGAAATAAATTTTAGATGATCTCAACATAAAAGAGGGTAAACCCTATTAGAATTTTCTAATCTGAAATTTGAGTTGGCAAAACATAAGTAGGTTGGTAATTCAATCTTTGATTATTTATAGTCTTCTTCAATTTATATTTTAAATTATATTCTGTATTTATTATATTTAAATTATATTTTTAAAAAAATATCAATAATTTTGTGCTTGGGAAAGAAGTGAGTGAGTAGATATTGGAATATATTTTGTGCACCATGATTTATAAGTGTTCACCACTTCACTGCCTAGATAAATTCTTAAAATAGATACACATGGATTTACAAATACATTTTTAGTGTTTAGAACATCGAACGAATTTTTTTGAACATTATGAATTTTGAAATTATTTTCAGTCACCCCTTCATATCCCCCTTTCAAAAGCTGAAATGACGACTCTGCGCCAAGTGCTCGGGGGGATGGGAAAATGTCCACGCGTCCAATGAGATCGACTAATATGTACTAACTCAACAGGTGGATGGCCGTAACACAATTCGAATCGGTGTACGCGAGGAGCGCGTTCCCGTGTTATGACGAGCCAGCTAACAAGACCGTGTTCAACATTTCCGTGATGAAGAGAAAGAACCAGATCGCACTGTCCAACATGCCGATCTCATTTATCGAGACAATCCGGTAAGTTCATGTGCAAATGTGATGTATTGCTATCGGATGTTTCCAATTATTTATTTATTTCAATTTCATTTTTCACTACGTTCCTCCAAAAAATATTAAATATTGTAGTCCAATGCTGTACACCGAGTAGGACCAACATGGTAAACCGATGGCACCCAAAAAATTAAATTACTTACATATATTATATTTTTACCTTCAACAATAAATTACAACATCGCAATGTGAGTACTTTTTTACTAGTGCTGACATCTTTCAAAAAATGTAATAGTAGATTTGTTATGATCGTAGATAACACACTATTAATATTAGCAATTTTGTCTAATTTTTCCTTCGACTTATTCATATGTTTGTTTTTTTCATTGTTTGAAAATATTAATTTTGTATATATTCTGATTTTATAAATTGACTAACTGATGAATGTAGTGCCGCGTGAACTTTATTAAAAATTACTAATTATAAACCAAATATCAACAAATTAACAATTCAATAAAATAAATCACATTTGAGATAATGAGTAATTATCAAAGTAATGTAATATTTAATTAAATATTATATTTTTATAGTAATGTTTACATAATAAATGTTTTCTTATAGTATATAATATACAATTATATATTATTTTATAATATTTAATGGTACCCTCGACAAAAAAAAACTAATTTTTGGTAAGTTGCGTCAAATAATTTGCCAACCCGGGGGTAGGTAATTAAATTCTTGCGATTGGAAATTTCAGAAACGAATGTTCTAGTAATGCAAAATATTGTACTCGGAATACATACGGCTTTCCAATATGTTTCAAAAATATACTCAATAAACCTACGTTTTTACTATCGAACACGACAATATTTGCGCTTAAAATTCTATCCACGTACAGGTGTGACATTTTTTAGAACGTTTTATGTTGTTGATATTTACTCGCTAAACGGAAATCAGTCGTAGAACTAAATGATAACAAAAGTACTTGTGGGATTATTTAAAAATGTGTACACTCAAGTGCAAACTATTACACACTTAAATATGATAAATGCGTGCGTTGAAGGTGACATTATTTTCGAGTATGTACTCGTATTACGTAACATATAAGAGTATTAAATGATTGTCTGCTTATTACAATATGTATTATACTATCTGGTTAGTCGGATTTGTTAATTTTTACACTTATCTTAAGCAATATAAAAGGTGTAGTTATTGAAATCAGATGAAAAAAAATCGTTTTAACAATACAATATTTCAATTTTAATTGAATATAATTATAAAATTACTAGCTGACCCGACAAACGTTGTTTTGTCATATAAATTATTTCTAGAGAATATTTTGCTAGAATAAAATAACTAAATAAATATAGGCATGTAAGAATGTGGGTAAGGATAAGGATGTAAGGAAGAGATATGGAGTGCTATGAATGGTGACGAAATATAAAAATGAAAAAACATCAAACATTTATTTTTTTAGTAATTTATTAAAATTGATCCATTAAAATTATATACATCGCTAATTATGACAATATTAGTAAAAAACAATATCTATCCTTTAATGCAACAGAGTGTACAATATTTTTTTTTTATTCTATCTTTCGCCAACACAAACTGGATGGTTCGAGAGCACACCACGTATAGTTATCCGTGTGAAAAATATGATGTGCTCAATAATAAACACTACAGGCATAGTTTGGCTTTGAAACTTATTGATAGTCATTGCAAATGCCAATCTAATTGGAAATTTAAGGCGTTTAAATTGCATTGGCACATCTGTGGGTATAATAGAGATTCGCGGTAATAATATATTTTCATCTCGGAATTCGCCTTTTAAAGGCTTCGATAACATTTTTCATTAATTTTTTAACGACTTATCGCGTGCTGTTGTACAACCGTGGTAGGTCAAATTATGAAGCAAAATAACCGGAGAACAAACCTTCAATTGTAAATTATGCGGTGGCATGCCTGGTAAGTCCAATGAGTTTAGAAACTCTGTTAGATAATTTACAGCTTCAGTAGCATAGCAAACTATATCTATAGATTTGTATGACACCATGTCTCCTGGTAACAAATGTTTATCTTGAGATTCAATTCGTTGACATTCACATTTTTTACAACTAAAATTGCTCTTTCTGCCAGCCACTCATGATTTGTGTATTGTTTGTGTACATTGGAAAATATCTAGTCAATGAGAGCATCTTGCGAATAAATGATTGTGCAGAAATCGGTTGGTAATTTTATACATTCCGTTTCACCTGTAGTAACTTTCCCATCTCCAATATCTAACAATTGTTTTGAGAATCTTCCGCACGCAGCTTTTTTTGATTGAATCGCAAGTATCAAAATCGTTCGCTCTCTATCTTTACATATATTTCGACCATGAATTGTTGACGATGCTCATTATATCGTAGAATAATTTTGTCCTGATCGTGTCTAATCATCAACCGATATGCATAATAATTTTTCGAACTAACATTCTTATTTGTTTTGACACCTGTTGCGGGATCTTTTTTATTAAATATTTATGCAATTCCTGTCATTTACTACCAAAAATAAAATTAATACTTTTTAAATAGTTTTTTTATAGTTTTTTAATAGTTTTATTTAATAATTCATTTTCAATTGTGCAGTTATCGACCGGGTCAAAAATTATTAAATTAAACTATGATTTATTTAACAATAGCACTTTTCTAAAAAAAATGTTCGTAAAAACCTTCTCCTGGCAATTATGAACAATTAAAAAAAATTTGAGCTAAATCGGCCCAGCCGTTCTCAATTGATGAAATGTTATACATTTTTGGCTCCATTTATATATATATATATATATATAGATAACTAATTACTAATTATTTATTAACTTTATCGGACTAAATTTACGTCTAAAACCTTCTCTGTGATGTCCTCTTTAATTTAAAAAAAACTGCACGACGATCTAATAAGTAGTTTTAGAGTTTATCCCGAACAAAAAAAAGCGACTTAATTTTATATAGTAGAATAGATAGATATGCCAGTCGACACCTACAGTACTATTCATTCGAAAAATAGAGATATATTAACCTATAGGTAAAGAGAGAGAGAGAGAGAGAGAGAGAGAGAGAATTAGAGATGGAGAGGGACGGTAAGTTATTTTATACGCGTTTAATCAAATTTTTGTTAAGATTTGTATTTAAAACCGATAACCGTAACTAGACCCGTTTTGAGCTACCGTTTTGATTGTTCGTTTCAAGATAATCGTAAAACGGTTATTTTACGAAAAATCTTTTATCCGCGATGGACATTAATGTGCACGTTTACAGATAATAAAAAACTACGATAAATTGATAACGAGTAGTATAACTCAGTTCTTTTCCCACTCAACAGATTTTCCGAGTGTCCCGTAAAATAACTTCATTGAAATGGATGTTGGATTAAAATCAATCGATCGCGTTGATATAGGGCAACGGGACGTTTAAAGTGCATTATAAGATAGATAAATATATCTATAATTTGACGTATCGCAGATGTAGTACAGATAGATACAGGTAGTACTGTGTGGCGACCATGTTGTTACTATTGCATTGTTCTAGTTTAACACGGAATTTTTGTATCATTTAGGGATCCAATAGATTTTTCAACATGCTTTTAACATGAAATTTTATTTTATGATTTAAAATAATGATTTACGGTTATCCGATTATACCGAGTGAGACATAACACTTTGACACATCGTGTTGTGGTCGCATAAATTGCATATACACACAGGCAAACGTTATGACATGACGTTCGTTGGGTGCAATTATCTGCGAACAGATTAAAACATTATTGATATAGGTTATATAAAATTTGTTTTTACCGTTTGGTATTGAAAATTGCACTCGACGGTGATCGTAAGTGCGTGTGCGCATGTCGTGAACAATTGCATCGTTCAACATTAAGCAATATGTTTTGTACGTATCGATAATAATAATAATAAATAATAATATATTATTTGACACCAGTGTTAATTTAAATTCAATGGATGGTTAATATTTTATCTGTCACGCTTTTTTGGTGAAAATAAACTATCCACACTGGTACAATACTATAATATGATATCATGCGTAACCAACACGTGTCAACAATTTTCTTTCCGTCATGACGAAAACCCAAAAAACGTTTGTTGGATGAGACCACGACGTTGATTTCGTTTATTTCTATGATATTATTATACAATACAGTCTATAATATATCAGTCTAAACAAAATCGATACATTCATCACAAATTTATTTCACATAAGTTGAATAATTATAATTATTATTAATATGGATTTATTGTTCCGCGTGCGTATATATATGAAATTATATTCCACGATCGAACGCTGCAAATATAACTATAAATAGTATATTATGTAAAAGGGTTTTCGCAGTGATTTTTATTAAAATATTTTTTTTTTTTGTTTCCAATAATTATTACATTTCTCGGTATTTTATATATTGATCTATTTGTTGCACAATGGAATTTGAGTAATTTGAGAACAATTTAATCAATACGAATATGGCCGTATTATAAATAATATGTTATAGTGTAACATAGACATTTTTATTATAATTATTTTTATCAAAATATAAAATAATTCGATAAAACAAATTATGCCGTTAATATTTTTATTCATTTTTATTCAATATTATTTTATTGAACAATATTTAGAAAATGATTAAGGTAATCTACGATTACGTACGTTTGTTATCGGCGATATTTTTTTAAGTTACAGGATTCCATACGATTTTACTTGATCTTTAACTACACGATTGCGTATGAAGTTTTAAGAGTTGATGCCAATTATCATATCAGTACTGGTGTATACCATATGCTTATATGAGAGAACTTAAAAAAGTTAATAAATACTTTGTGTTTTATTGCTTTTATTACGTATGTTTATTGTTAATGATATCAAATATATCAGATATAATGAAATTTCATTATTTCTATTATATTATACGGTGTTTTCCGAGTTTCAGTAAAATTAGTAGGTTATAGATGTCAAGGAATTCAATTTTAAGTTTTCAAATAATTTATTAGCAATAATTTTACTAAAGTAAAAACTGTCGATTTTATTTATTCATTAATTACTTATTTATTTATTTAGCTATCCTCATTTTTTTTACGAATTATTATAGAACTGTTATATTTATTTTTTATGTTTATTGTATAATTTTTGTTTACACGTAATCAATTAATTAATTACATAATCATTAGATATAATATGGTAAAATTAGTAAATACGTTACGTATAATTTCATACGTGATCGTGTTAATTTATTTTTCTTACCACCTTTTTGTTACCCATCTTCAAACGTATGCAATCGTACTCTACCCAATGATTAGCAACTGCTGTATTGGTGTAGACCAAGAATTTCAATTTTATTCTATTATAATACCTACTTCATATAGCTTGTATAATAATTAAGTAGTAACTTTTCGATTCGAAACATTAACCGTCTACATGTTTTGACTGACAATTTAACTTTTCGAGTTTCCAATCGCATTCCAAACAATCGACCGATATATCATTATATAGATACATTTGTAATGTATATGAATCTGCGTATATAAAACACACACCCACTGTAGTCATGAACTGTTCCACAGTAACGTACCAGACTGGTTAGGTACACCACAACAGTAATGTATGGAATGCGCAAGTTGTCGACATGGATCGGACCATATGGTCTACAGTTAACGTAAACGTGTAATCGTTCATAAAATCGAATCCAACGCTGTTACTGTTATTTCAATAAAGTTTATTAGAATAATTATTGAAACCAAACGTTTAACGGATAATGTTGATGAATTATCGATTTCAGCTCAAATGACATGGAACTGGTGCACTTCCAGACTACCCCGCCGATGTCCACTTATCTGGTGGCCATTTATGTGGGCGACTTTGTAGCGAACGTGAACAATTCGGCTGTGAAGGTTTACGCGCGTGCGGACTCCGTAAACCAAACCAAATACGTGGGGTCCGAAGCCCAGAAACACCTGGACGTGCTGTCGAAGTACACGGGCATCAAGTACATGCTCCCAAAAATGGACCTGTTGGCAATACCGGACTTCAAAAGCGGGGCGATGGAGAACTGGGGAATGAACACGTACCGGTGAGGAGCATGGTGACGGCGAATAGCTTTTCTTTCACGTGTTCGCTTTCGTGACAAGAACACCGTATGATGGGTTGCTAAAATTATGTATTTTTTCCCTTTAAATTTGCAGGGAAAGCTATCTGTTGTTACACGACGAGTCTAAATCGAAAATGAAAATACGGGCATCGGAAGTAGTGCAACACGAGTTCACGCACCAATGGTTCGGAGACTTAGTGACCTGTGCTTGGTGGGACTATTTATGGTTAAACGAGGGTTTCGCCCGGTACTTCCAGTACTTCGCCACGGGAATGGTACGACGGTTCAATCTGATATTTGATTTGTATATTTGTATTTATTTTTTTAAACGAACCCCTAATGAAATGTTCTCGCGACAGGTAAAAATGAGTTGGCCGGTTGAAGAACAGTTTGTGATCGAAGCGCATCAAGGCGCATTGGTTTACGACCAGACCCCCAGACATCCGATCACTTCGTCGGTAAAAACTCCCGAAGAAATTGAAAATATATTCGACACTATAACGTACAGTAAAGCAGCGTCAGTGCTAAGAATGTTGTATCATGTGGTGACCGAAAAAGTGTTCCAACCTTCTCTCCAAGATTATTTGGAAAAATATAGGTAGATATGATTATATTTAATTATTTCCTATACGTGTTGTGAACACTGTGTTCTCTTATTGAAAATAACATTCAAATTCGTTAAAAACCATTTTAAAGCGAATCCGTAGCAGAACCAACAAACTTGTTTTCATTGTTTGATTCAAAGATGGAGGATTTATCATTAAGCTTAAATAATTATACTTTGACAGTCAATGACTTTATGTCAAATTGGACTTTACAGTCGGGATATCCAGTATTAGAAATCACAAAAAATAGTACATCAAACATGTTTTCAGTGATACAAGTAAATAAACAAATTTTATTACGTTTAAATTTAAAAAATATGTATTTTCAAACGATAGGTACACTCCATAATGACCTTTCCATTGTAACAGTAAAATAAATAGATAAAATAATCTATAAACGCTTCCACTTAAATCTAATCAATTACGGCAATGCTCTTGTCTCAAACTTCTATATTCTCAACATCCCAGCAGCGCCTGATTTAATAAAATTAGGGCCAAGTGCATAATTTTTTTTTTGGGGCCCCCCCGAGTCAAAAAAATATTCTAGAAAACGAAATGCTCATAGCTTCACTAACGACGGGTAAATCTGTAAATACTGGGCTCGAATTAATCTATAAATAGTTAATAGAACACCGATGTTCAAAAAATGTTCTATTATTATAATTTTAATATTTTGTGATGGTAATTGATTAGAAATGGGGTGTGGAATGACAAAAATAACCAAGATTAAACTGAAAATTTAATTATAAAAATATAGTGTACTCTGAACATTGACAGTTAGTGTTACATTTTATAAAATAAATGTTTGTGGAATTAATTTAAAAATATTATATTCTAAAACTTACGGAGACCGAGGGGGCCCAGAAATTGGGGGTCAAGTGCAAGTGCTCTATCTGCACTAGCATAAATCAGGGTCTGCATCCCAGGTGATCCGAGAAGGCGTTTGAAACGCATATGGTGATAGGATCATTTAAATGATTAAAATTTGTCCACTATCATGAAGTTCAATCATTGAATGGATTCTTCCATCAAAATTACAATTTGGCACTGATTTTACATAATTTATGCTTGTTGTAAAACATATTTATTTACAGTTTGCATAAATAAATTTCTAAATTGAAAAATATAATAAAAATAATTTTAATTCGTTGCGAAAACCATTTTTTTATACCTTCAACGTAAACTAATCATACAAGTAAAATTTAAAACCCTTCAAAAGTATTTGAAAATCATTTAAATTTAATGATTTTTGCTCTGTTAAGAGTAATGTTACTCTGACAATTTTGAAAAAAGATATTAAATTGATAATATATTTTGTTTGAATGGTATAGAAACGATTTTTAATCAGCGGAAACGATACTGAAAAAACGTTGTGGATCGTTGGTCTGACATTTACGACTGAAAATCATAAGAATTTCAGCAATACCAAACCGTCTGTGTGGACGAACAAAAACAGTGATTTGACTATGGTTCAAGGCCCTTCAGACCCCGGATGGTACATCTTTAACATACAATCTACGGGTACCGTTCGATTTAATCCACTAAAACCGTACAATTAATGTATGCGAGAACCGTAATGAATATCCGTTTATTATTATAGGTTTCTACAGAGTGAACTACGACAACGAAAACTGGATGGCATTGATAAAGCAGCTCAACAATACACCCACTGAAATCCACGTGCTCAACCGCGCTCAGCTAATATCTGACTCGTTCAATCTGGCGCGAGCGGGACAGTTGAACTACACGGTACCTTTAGAGCTGACAAAGTATTTGAAAAATGAGAACAGCACCACGCCATGGTACTCGGCCATGCAGGGTTTTTCATACCTGCTGCAACGGATGCCTCGCAGCGAAAAAGGATACAAAAAATTAAAGGTACATGCGACTTATAAATACGTCCCTTAAATTATTATGCTACGGCTCTCGTGAGCGCGACGATTCTTCCCTAATAATTCAATGACAACGAGCTGTACGGGCTTAACTTTTAGACGTACGTAAGTAACCTGGCCGGGATCATATACAAAAAGCTCGAAACTCGCGTAGCGAGTGGCAACGATGAATTATTTGTAAAAAGTGCTTGGGACACTTTCTCGTTGTGGGCGTGTAACCTCGAGAATAAATACTGTACCGAAAAAGCGTTGGAATATTTCAACAAATGGAAAACGGGAATAAGGTTTGTAGTCGGTACACTTTTAACCGTAACACAACGTTAAATGCGAATAATTACATCGTTGTACACGATGGGGTTTTATGAATTTTCCAGAATACCCGCCGATATCAAGGACGCAGCGTTCTGTGTCGGAGTAAAAAACAGCAACAACTCCGATGTATTTTATCAATTGTTTAACTTGTCCACCACGACGACCTCGATTTCAGAAAAAATGTCCGCTCAGTTGGCTCTCGGATGCTCTACCAACAGAGCACTACTAAAAGAGTACGTGTAAAATAGTTATACTCGTTCTTTGCATAATCTATCGTATTGACACGATTGAAAAAGTGATTTTAGAGTTGTTTTACTACACTAAAATACAACGATAAAAGATTTTTCTGTTGGACACGGTTTTTGAAAGTATACACACTAGACTTTTTTTTATTTTTTTTATTCGTTTTGATTAAACCTTAAGTACTGTAACTGTGCACATTAAGTAATTCATTTTATTTCAGGTACATTTATCACATACTCGATGGGCCACAAGGACCGATAAAGGAAAAGGACTACGAGTCCGTGATATCATATATATCAGAAACCCCACTAGGGCTCAATGTATTGTATGAATTCCTAGCGAATAATTTGAACAGTACGTTAAAGAATCTTACGGACGGTCACGGAATCACTAAACACATATACTCAACGCTTGCAAACAAATTGACAGACGATAGTGATATTGAAAAGGTTGGTATTAGAGTTTTAAGAATGCAGAAATAAATATATTTCATTCTTCGAGGCGATACTAATTCAACAGCTTTTGAAACTGTAAACTATTATTTAACTAGTTTTAAGATTACGTAAGATTCAACATTATTTGTTAATTCAGTTCATTTAATTTCTACATGCATTAGTAGATATTGAATAATTATTAGCTGTTTATACCTATTTTACTAGATAAGAATCCTAAAAAATGACTCTTCCATTCCCGATTCGGTGAGAAAATCGTTTGATGAGTCGTTTGCAAAAATCAGTGATCACACATTGTGGTTCGATAAGTATTCTCAAATTATCGACGAATGGGCACAAAATAACCAAGAACCAATGATATCAGAACCTTCGAGTACCACTACACAGGCGACTTCTACATCTGAGCAAGAAAAAACAACCGTCCATTCTGTTACAACTACTCCGTCGTCTACAAATACCACGAAACCGTCTAGTGCAACGTCGAATGTACAAAACAGTCTTACGATTTTACAATTTACAGCTATCACATTGTTAGTGAAAACATATATTTTGTAAAATTAAACAACATTTTCATATTATATAGTTTTTTTTTTTTTATAGTTTGAGTTCCAAATTTTTGTATAGATATCAAACTACATGATTTATTTTATTGCATTTTTTCTTAAATGAATAACCATTGAATAAATTTTCAAAGTATTTTTGATTAAGCGTTGACTTTTTCCACGCTGCAACTCGTTTGCGCATATTCAAAATTTTTTACCTGAAAATCGACGACTCGTTTGCGCACGGCGAAATCAGTCGTTTACCTGAAAATAAATAACTCTGCGCACAACAACACATTCACGTACATGACACGTAAAGATTCAGTAAGTATGGACTATGGATATGGACGGTACTGTGGTAACTAGTGTGTTGACGATGTAAACTTTAATATGACGTAGAAATTTCTAATATTTTTGAATCTTGGTAGGAAAAACAATGTTTTAATATTGATAATTATAAATTTAGTGAATACCGTGTTTTAATGAGTGGATGTTCAAATTTTAGATGCACTAAGAAAAAAATGTCCTGCGAGTGTTATTGTTAATAACTCAAATAAAATAATAAAAATAACTAACTCTCATAATCATGAGGAGTATAATAATCAACGATAAAAAGCAAACAAGTTCTGACACTAAGGATTTTCGTCACAGGTAGCCAAAATATATGTGCGCAATCGAGTTGTGGATTTTTGCGTAGACGAGTTGTAAAAAAGGTAAATGTGCGCAAACGAGTTGTAGCCCTTTTTCCAAAACCTCGATCTAATATAATCAGCATAGTTAATAAATATTCCAAATTAGACTAAGGAACAACGAAAAATCAAATACGTGTGGACGAAATAAAAGCCATAAGTTTTCATCACAACACCTGTATAAAAAATTATTTTTTTATTGTTACTACTATGATGATCAAAGACACTCCAATGGGATTGGGATACATTTATAGAGCTTCTAATTGTATTCCATATTTAATTCTACGGGAACAATAAACAGTTTACCATGATCCTTTTGCAAATGCGTAAGCTATATTATTTCAAAATATATATATTAGTGTATTATATTATATACATTATATGATCACAAATAACGAACTAAAAATAGTCACAAAAATGTTGCTGATATTGGATATTTTCACAGATAATGCCGGTGATTATGACTCACATAAAGAATTTTTTACCGTGATAAGTTAAAGTAACATTTAAAAAAATAAACATTTTGAGACTATGCATGAATTTAAAAAACTTATATAAAATAGTAGTTATCAAATAAATATACACATAACAAAAGAAAAATAAAATAAAAATGCTTTCAAAGTAAAAAGTTAAATAGTAAAAAATATAAGCAATATAATTAAATTAACTTAAAATCAATAAAAAATTAAAAAAAAAATTGGATACAATACATTATATTTAATTGGTACTATAATACACTGAATATAAAAAGCAAATAAAAACTATAATACAAATCATAAAGTACGTGTTTTATAAATAAGATTTATATACATCAAAACTATATTTTAACTATATATAATTTGTAGTATAATGTGATGCTTAAAAAAAAAAAATAAAAAAAAAAATAAAGTATATAAAATATATATATTTATACAAATACGTAAAATCAAATTTTGCTTTAGATAAAATAAAAAATCATTGTTGTATTAATAACAATGTAGAAAATAATCTTACAATATCAATTGATGAAAAAAACCCATTCATCATATAAAATCAGTACATTGATTAAACACAAAATAAAAACAATATATTTTTAAATGATGAAGCGATTACCAGCTAATGTTTATGAATCTATATATTACCTAATAAACAAGCATTTCTCGTCGCTTTTAAATGCAAAATATCAATAAAGCAAAACCGTTCTCATCTATTGAGACGTACTGGTATGCATAAGGGAATTAAAGTTTATAGCATATAATATTACTGCGTGCAATTAAACTTAAACATTTGAAATATTTCAAGAGATATAAAATAAAGTAAGAAAAACAAACATAATGAATCATAATTTTATAATTATGTCAATGGCAGCGAACCGGTTTTCAATTTCATTCGGTCCGTATGGCTGTGATTCACAACTTGTGAACCGGATTCAACTAGAAAATCCGTTGAACGGTAATGTCAGGATCGACTTTGTCCCGGACGGCCTCACAAAAATGTGATCTAGTACCATCGCAATCGAAGAGTTCTCGCGGTACGTGATCCTATCTGCAGCGGTCCCGCGCTCCAAGCAGATAAGATAATGCGTGGTAAATTCCTTCCGGGTAATATTATTATGACGGTGCTCTAGTATCTGGACGATTCGACGACCGTCTTGGCCGTAACACTATAGCATTATATTTCCGACCGTGTTTCGGCAACAGCGAACTGCTTACCTAACCTGCACGATGGTTGCCAAATTGTTCAGATCGTTGTTGCTGTTTCCGGTGATTTTGCTTGCTCTATCCGGGGCGCAGGGACCCGATGACGATCATGCGACGATGGCGGTGTTCAGGCTGCCAACCACAACGAAGCCGGAGCTCTACGAGCTTCGGTTCATCCTTGATTTCGACGGATACAATTCCACGTTCAGCGGACAGGCGAGGATCACGGTACTAGCCGTGTGCACCGTTCACGTGATCACTTTGAACGCAAAGGACCTAAACGTTACCGAAGCGTACGTGACGGACGTCGAACTCGATAAATATTTGCCGGTTCGCCGGATAGTCAACCGCAGGCACGACGAACAACTTGAGATTCGTCTCGACGATCCCGTCATCGCGAACAGGACGTACGCGGTGACGATATTGTACGCCAGCAAAATGAGAACTGATGAGACCGGATTGAATACGAAGCCGTACCGGGAGGGCAATACGACCAAGTAAGTGTCCCTTTGTTATGCTTTCGAGCCACGTCCCCGATGACGGAACGCGGAACATTTGACCGCGGGCAACAATCTAAGTGTCTGAAAATCAAACGATATATAGCTGAGTACATAGGTGCCGCGAGAGGAGCGCAAGAGAGTGCACTTGCATACCCCTAGATTAAAAAAAAGAAAACATAACATAAGACTATAGGATAGAAGATATCGTTATCATTATCGGATTTTTTAGTAGTCTGCATTAATTTGTAGCCGTCGAAAAAAAAACGAAAATAATTTTGTATACCTAGTCATACAATTTGAAAAAATATTCCTACAAATTTCATTTAAATAATTCGAGTAATATTTAGAAATCAGTGTATGTACTATGCATGATGCACCCCCCTGACGGAATTTCTTACGGCGTCTATTGTGCCCGAGCACCCGATAATTGAGCGGGTGTTAGAAAAAACACGTTCAAATTTAGATTAGCCGACGCGAATAAGAAATATATGTGCAAACAATTTGACTGTGTTGGTCTGTAGAGAACTTTTCAAAATATATTCCTCAAAATACCCGATTATGAATTTTTGTTCTTACTATCCTTAGTATTCTTTTCTAATTTCTGTTACGAATATTAATATAATTATTTAGATGTTTTTTATGCACATTTAACGTTGTTTCATTAATACGCTCAATAGGCGGCTCTATTGTTCCGTAATGAAGTATTCTGCATTCGGTAGTCGTGGTTGAATGGCCGTTCTCGAGTATTGGAGAACAAAAAAAAAAAAAATCGTTTCGCTGTGCAGGTGGTTGGCTATAATGAATTTGGAGCCGGTGTACGCGAGGCGAGCTTTTCCGTGTTACGACGAGCCTGCGTACAAAGCCGTCTTCAACATATCCGTGATGAAAAAAACGAACCAGATCGCATTGTCCAACATGCCAATCCGGAATATCGAAGTTCTCAAGTGAGTAAATCCGAGCGTTACATTATACCGTGGTAATCATTTCAAATATGCGTTTTGATTGTGATTTACTTTTGTTTTTAATAAGATTCCAAAATGATTTTTATAAGTACCCAAAAGTATTTAATTTAAAGTTATATATACATTTAAAAAAAAAAATTAAATCTATAATAGCACAAATGTTAGGTTTTAAAATGATTAATTTTATTTTTGGAAAACTATTTTCGAATATTCGAAGAATATAATATTTAATTTTTAAATTACATTTTTTACTAAAAATAATTAATGTTAATTTTTTAGTGTATTTAACAATACATTTATAAATTAATATTATGTGTTTGTTGAAAAAAAAATACCCTCCTTAGAAACTAAACTTATTTGTTTTTTTATCGCAATTTAATATTATTCTAAAATTAAAAAATGGTATACAGTGAACATGATCTTCACAATATTATTTTACTCATCGTAATAGTAAATATAATTTCAACGTAATATTTTATTAATTATTTTCATTATGCTTTGTTTTAAAAAAAACAATTAAGAGTTTTTTTTTTTTAATCTCCAAAACTTAGTCAGTCTTTTAATAATTATATAGCTGTAATACACTATTTTAACTGTATATCATCCTTGAACTGTAGTCGTCAAGGAAAGGGGATCGGTGTATATTAAGGTCCATTATAATGTATAGAGTAATCTTATGATTGATATTCCTAGGTTTTTTATATTATTATAGTTTGTGACATTCTTTGGTACTTCAACACTAATCGAAGAGATTTGTAATAAAGTTGTATTTGAGATTAAAGTCTCCAATAAATTTACACTCATGATACTGCAACGTATTATATTATTCTTGTTTATTTACCATTCATAATTAAAATAGTTTTTATTTTTAATTTTTCTATTTATTTATTTATTTTTTATTTATATATATGAACGGTATAGGAGCCCAAAAGTATAACACAATTTATAATAATAATATTTTGTCACTTAATTGTTATTTACATCATGTTTTATTCAAAAATAAATAATATACCAATAAAAAAACTACAAAAATTTAAGTAAAATAAAATACAATGATAAAATATTTCAACCGAGTTTTAATATCTAAAACATTCCTTGTTTTACAGTTCTTGATATTTATTTGGTATCAGCCGAGGATTTTTAATTAAAAAAATGACTCACGTATTTCTCTTTTATTTTATCATTCATTAATCTCCTAAAATGCATTACTTTTATTGACTAATTGAATTCCTTCATATACGTTTTTGTTAAATTAAAATAATATCATTGATGTGGTATATTAAAAAAAAAAAACAGATGCTGGATATTTTTAAATTGAAAACTGATTTTTTTTTTTTCATTCATTTAATAAAGGACACTAGAATACGAGGTGAATTAAGAACAACGCAACACCTTCAAAACGTTTTTAGTCCTTAGTGGAAGGTTTGGCTTTCACGAGTTTATAAGCACATTGCTTTCAATTGGGGCGAAGTTCATTGGAACTCCGAAAGGAAATTTTTTGACAATTGTTAGGAATGCTCAATTCAAATTCCATTGCAATGCTAAGTTATCTGCCATTTCTTTGAGACGGTTTTATCCATATTGCTTTGAATGACGATCGAAATTCCAAGTATTCAATTATTCGGAAAACATGATATCATAAATGAGACGATTAAATAACATAAAAATGGGATATTCTTTCATCTTAAAAAAAGACATTTATTATATTATAGGTACCTTCCTAGTTCAATATCTAATCGAATTAGAAACTATTTACAACATATACAATACACAATACATGTGGCAGTTATGTTGGATTCTTACCACGAGAAAAAGCATTGATAGTAAAAATAAAATAAGCACCAAAATAAAATAAAAAAATAACGTCCTCTCAGAATCTAAAAAATGTAACTAGGAATTTAAAATAATCATCCGCACTACAACGTAATAATAAAAAAAAAATAAATTAGAAATAGGATACAACTGTGTTATAATCAATGATGATACAATATCGCCGGACTATTTAATCATAAGAATATCCGTTATCTAATAACAGTTCAGTTGATAATGGTAAATATTTATGCAATATCTCTTTTGACATACATGCAATGTTGTTAAAAATACTTTTTAAAAGTATTTCAAATAGGTATTTAAACACAAATATACTAAAAAAATATTTCAAATACTTTTAAATAGATTTTTTAAGCATTGTTATTGTCAGATTCTTAATTCTTAAAACATTAAGACTAAATTACATTAATTTCTAGTGACTAGTGACTAATTTAAAAAAAAATTAATTATAACGATTTAATTAATTTATTAACGAACAACGAGTGTTCGGAGTATGTGATTATGTGAGATACTGTGATTCGCATTGTCGCCGTGCTACGATACTATAAAATGTAAATAGTCAAATATATTTACGATATACGAGTAGGCACATTTAATCGAAGTGAACGTAATGGCCGCTCGTGTGTTTAATTGTTTAAAAGTGGTGACGTGGAAGTGGTATTCTTCGAGAACACTCCGCGGATGTCGACCTACATGGTAAACCTTTTCGTGGGCGAGTTCGTGCCGAATACAAACGGTTCGAACGTGACGGTCTACACGCAAAAGCTGTTCGCGGCCCGGAGGAAACTCATCCAGACCGAAGCCCCGAAATACCTCCAGGCGATGTCGGATTACACGGGCGTCAGGTACACCCTGCCGAAGTTGGATCTGTTGTTCGCACCATGCCGCGTTTGCTACGCGATGGAGTCCTGGGGTCTGAACGTTATTCCGTAAGAAAGGATTTATAATATACTATAATATATCTATCCATAGTATACTAGTATAATAATAATAAATAAAGGTATCTTAATGCACACCCGTGTACACAAGCGCGTAGCCAGGAGTGGGTGTTACAGATATAGCAACACCTCCCCCCAACGTTAACAGTGTTATACTTTATCATAACGAAATATGTACACAACAATAGCGTAAAGCCGGGATCCGACTTTTAATTACACCGTTTTGTCTAATAAACCAAAGCCGTGGGTTTGTGTCGTACCATACGTGATGTGACAAAAATGTACATTTGAAATTTTAATAAAGTATTTAAATACTTTCTCAAAGAATAGTACATTACACATGAATCAGTGGTGCCAAACACGTACTTTTATGGGAAAGTTCGCCCCTTTATTTAACAATGGTGATGAGTGCCTGAAATTTGAGAGGATTTGGGGTGGGTTTGGTGCATAAATTTAAACTCTAGTTAGTAAATCTTAGGAATGTACAAATTAAGTGACAGTCGATCTGTAGATGGTAGGATACTATGATGTGATAGAGCAATTCACCTATCAATGCATGTCTTTATACCATATCGAGTATAAAGACGTACACTGACATTTATATCTATTTCGCACATATGATGAAGCTAAATGCCTCTCGGTTCTCAGTGTTTAAAAATGATTAACGTAAACAAATCTTTTAAATAATTTAAGATTATTACTTAAATTACCAATAGCCCCGTGGAACATTTTTGAAACATTTTTTTTTAAATTGCAATGGTTTAAAAAATGAAATAAACTGTTTTTGGTTTTACAATTTTTTAATTTTAATAACGTATTTCACATTTAAATAATTAAACATATTTATATACGCTTCAAATTGACACTAAGTGTTTTTTCCTAAAAACACTATGAAGTAGGTAAGCAATAAGTAAGGTAAATAGGTAATAATTATTACCTAATTTATAATTATCATTTTCAGTCCGTATAATTATTGATTTAATATAAAATATGAGGCATTTTACTCGATCATAATTTATATTATTATTATTATATGCTGTTTTAAGCGGCACACATAACAATAAATACAATCGTAAATTCTAAAATAGACTTAATACTGCAGACTGTCGGTTATAGCCCCCTAACCCCCCCTGGATACGCCTCTGCTGAATAGTTTTGCCGGACTGACGTATTTTTTCGAATTTTGCGCAGGGAAAGCTTAGCCATATCAAAGAACACTAAATCGATGGCGATGAGCGAGTTATTCGTCTTGCAGCATGAAATCGCGCACCAGTGGTTCGGTAACCTGATCACATGCAAGTGGTGGGACTATTTGTGGCTGAAAGAGGGTTTTGCCACGTATTTCGAGTATTTCGCCATTAAAATGGTAAACCGTCTCTGCCTTGCGGTGTTTCGTTGAAATCCTGTGTCGTTAATTCAGCTTGTACCGCATATGGGTGCCACGCAGGTGAACACGGCTTGGCCGATGGAAGAACTTTTCGTGGTCGAGATACACCAAAATGCGTTGTCATACGATCAACGCGTTGATCGACCGTTAACCTCGCCGGCGAACAGCCCTAAAGAAATCGAAAACCAATTCGACTTGGCAACGTACAGGAAGTCGGCGTCACTTTTGAGATCACTAAGATATTTAGTAACCGAAAAATTGTTCCAGTTGTCCATTCGAAATTATTTATCCGCTATAAGGTGAATTATAAACTTTAAATATTTTTTTTTCGATAATGATAATAATCATCGATATTATTTATTTAACAAAATGTTTTTATTAGGAACTGAATACGATATTATTCACAAAAATCATTTTTTTTATTTTTTATTAGCTTATATTAATAAATCTAGTTCAACAATTACAAAATATTAAAATATTAACAACTAATATATAAAAGATAAACTGAGTAATAAATAATATAAAACAAAATATAACTAAAAATAACAATTTAAAGTATATAAACAAAAACAATCAGATGATAAAGCCAGCCTCCTGAATAAAATAAATAATAATGATAATGACCTGTTCAGAGTTAGAATTTAGAATGGAGTAGAGATTAAATGGAACATTCAGGGAGTTAAGGAAAGAAACCAAGTTCTGATGTTTAATGGAGAGCGAAGGACAATCGAAAAAAGTATGACACAAATCGTGGATTAATTCCTCCATATACAGAGTGTAAAATGAAGAATCATTTAAATTTAATATTTAAGCGTGTGAGGGTAATAAATTATACCTTGTACGTAGACGATCAAACTGAATAATATAGGTAACAATAGATTTTTAAGTCAAATATTATTAATAACATTGGGGACAATAGATTTGAATCTGGAGGCAAATTTAGCGGGTAGATTATGCCAGTAAACAGACCAATAGTTAAAAATATGATGTTGTAGAGAGGGGTAAAGTTTGACCGATGAATTAGGGAAAAATAAGGACTAATAAAATTAGAGGAAGATTTTGCTAAGGAATCGGCGTATTCATTTTCGCGAATCCCCACATGACTAGGAACACTAAGAAACTGAATATTGAAGTCTAATTAGCCAAGGCTAAAAATGATAGACTAAATACAGAGAGTTAATAGAGATAGATGGGAATTAAGAAAGAAGGAATTGAGAAGACTTTTAGAAAAGTCCGATTCAATTAAAAACTTTTTATTTGAGAAAGAAGAGATACAATTGAGAGCTTCTATAATAGCAAAACACTCAGTTGTAAAGGAAAATGAAGAAGGGGGTAATTTTTTTTTTTAAATGAAATGTATAATTTGGAGATAGAAAATGAGTAGCCAGCCGAGAGAGGATAAATGGAACCGTCTGTATAACCATAATAATATAAAAATAATGAAGTCCATAAAATTGTTTTGAATAAAATCGGAAAAAAGATTGTTATTTACCACGGGAGAAGTAACCCTAAACTCAGAAGAGGTAAATCCTTGAAAGGGGTTAATCAAATGTATCTGTATGGGATAAAAAAGGGCTTCGTAAGCAATCTCATGTCTATGATGTTTAATATTAGTTAGAATATAAGAATATATTCATGAAAAAAATGATGATTTAATTAATTTATGAACATTATTATTATTACTAACAATTTGTTGAATTTATTTTAAAGAAACAGTGTGGTAGAACCAAATGACTTATTTGCATCTTTTGATAAAGTTTTATATGAAAATAACTATAATATCGGCAATGGATTGACAGTCAACGAGTTTATGTCCAATTGGACGTTACAGTCGGGATACCCTGTGCTACAGATAACAAAAAATGATACTTCAAACACACTCTCAGTGATTCAAGTAATTTGTACAGTTTGTCTGAAACTATATTATTATATTAGGTATACTGAGTTAATTGTTTTGTAATTAAACAATAGAAATATGCGCATATTTCCACGCCTATAGTCATATCATCCCTTAAATCGAATTACTATAAAATAATATATTTCATTTTTACAATTCTTTTTTCATCATCAAACCTAAATTTTTCAATTTTATATTATGTATTAGTCATATTTTAACATATTTTTACTGTTTATTCCATAGATATTTTTCCGTACGTATTTATTCAATTCAATAAAAATATATTATTTATTATAGAGTCGGTTCGTCATTCACCCGGTAATTAAAGAAAACTCTTCTTCGGCATGGAACATTGGTCTCACGTTCACGACTGAACTGAGCAAAGATTTCAATTACATGCAACCGCGTTTTTGGTCGAACAAAACATCAAAAATTACCGTAATACCCGTCCCACGGAATTCAGGATGGTACATATTCAACACACAATCAATCGGTATTCGAACAAAAATATACTTTTAACGATTTCTTCGGGCAGAGAGGCGTGTTTGTTTTTATTTTATAATTATTTCCATTAAGGTTTCTACAGGGTAAACTACGACATGGTTAACTGGATGGCTCTGATTAAGCAACTTCACGAAGCACCTGCGGAGATACACGTGTTGAACCGCGCGCAGTTGATAGACGACGCGTTCAATTTGGCGGGCGCGGGCCAGTTGGACTATTCGGTTCCGTTACACCTTGCCGAATACTTGCAAAATGAGAACAGTACAATACCGTGGTATTCGGCTTTGAGGTGTTTTTCGACCGCGAAGTCAAATCATATCCTAAAAAAATCCGAAAATTTATGGGTAAAACAATGATAATCGCTAACATTAAACCATTTTTACAGTCTTTACCCGTACATAATTACGTAATCCGTAAATTACACAAAGATTCTATTGATCAGTAATTGTAGTCTGTCTGTGAAGTCATAGGTCTAAATTCACTACTGTAGCCAGATCGCATTAATAATAATAATAATAATAATTTATTGAAAAGAGAAAAATTTACATAAATAATAACGCCCTTTAGGGTAAAGAGTAAAGATATATAGAGTAAATAGTAAATACAGATACTTTTATCAAGATGATTTATACAATTATATCATTTGGATATTTTTAAGTTCAGATTTATTTCCATATTTTAAAAACAGAGCATTGAGTATCTGATCAAATCTTCCACCACTCATCAATGGGATAACTGAATTTGAAACAACCAGTAGATACTTTCTTCACCATTAAAAAGATAATTACATTTGTTGAACTGGGGTATTTTTATAAACACAAGCGGTATCTATTTTTAATTTAATACTTCAATATATTAAATATTCTTAGTAAATCTATTTATTTATTCCTACTGTATTTTTTATGAACCTCAGTAGTATATACCGATTGTATATTTATATTAACCGATCATAGGACAAAAGAAATGCATTGTTCTCCAGTTGGTCCTCATGGTCCTGCTGGTGCTACTGATCCTGCTGGTTCTACCACTGCCACCGCCACTAACTGGTCCTTCCCACCCGATTTTTCGCTGTTGTCGTTGCTTGCTGGTCACCCTCCCACGAATCGCCACCACCGCCACGTTATTGTTAACGTATATGACTGATAGCTGGCCCTGCTGGTCCTCTGCTGATCCTTCCGCCGCCACGTCATCGTTAACCTTGTACATTATAACATGACCGATAGCTGGTTCTGCTGGTTCTATGCTGTTCGTCCCACTTTTGGTCATATACGTTAACAAAAACGCAGTGGATCGGGTGGCTGGGAGAGGGAGGGGGATCATCCAGCAACAGCAGCGGCTGATCGGATGGGAAGGAGCAGCCAGTGGCGGCAGCAGCGGGAGTACCAGCAGTAGGAAAATGGATTTCCTTCATCCCAGGATCAGCAAATATATACTATTAATAACATAAGAACAATTTTCATTAAAGACATACAAAACCTCAAATTAATTCTTCTCATTTCAATTGTTTTATCATCTATTATTATACAAACTGTTATGCTACTATTTTAATAATATTTCTAAGATAAAGAAAATTATATAGAGAATTTGTTTATATAAAAATAAAACATAATAATATTATTTCTGTATAAAATGAACTTAACTATGTAATCTGACTATGAGTGCCAAATTATTAGAGGGAATTCAAGGGCAGTACTCCAATTATATCATTGCTTTTTAAAAGGACCTTTTACATCCTTGATTAAACTCGGAGTTCGTGTAAAATATTAATCTTTTTTTATTCATATCGGGTTATGTGTCCAAAAATAAAATTATATTTTATAATAATTATTATTTGTTATTCCCACCCCGAAAATCGTCACCGCATAACAATACACGTGATGTATTTAAATATATGTATTACACTACATTTAGACTCGCTTCGGTAAACTGATTGGAAACGTAAATAGAAAACTCAAAGAGCTCATCTTGAACGGACGAATTGTCGAATCCCACGTGATAGACGAATCGAATTTGATACTGGCATGGATGTGTAAAGTCGACCAAAGGTTTTGTTCAACCAATCCATTGCAATATTTCGAAGAATGATGAACAGGTAAAATACACAATAATGCTTGTTCCATTTATTTGCATTTTCGATACTGCATCACTGGTGTTAATTATTATGTTTCGTTTAGAGTACCAGCCGTCGACAACAACGTGACGGCGATCGGCGTAATATGAACAAAAACAGCTTCGGTATAACAATAACAATCGAAAGTTCAACTTGACTTGGAAAAATCGATTTACACCATATCAGATTCACTCAATCGACTTGATCGATTTCACATGATATATGTTCGTTCTACATATACGCCGATCGATCAAATAGACATTATAAAAATATCATAGAGTTATAATGTATATTATACAATTTTAAACCATTAAACTGTAGTTTACCTTCATTAATTAATCATTTAACGTTAAAATAATTAATCACGTAATTAATATTCGTAACAGAAACGTAGATAAAATATATGATATTAGTTTGAGTTAAATTTGTATTTAATTTGTTTTCCTTCAAAGAAAGTTACGAATAATGTAAACTAATATTAACACTGTTGAGCATGGATAAATAATTTTTGGTTTAGATAAATATTAAGATAATATATCAAAAATTGATTTAGATAAGATAAAAATAAGGAAGGCTAAAATTATAAAATTATCTTTATTACAGATGAAAAATAATCATAAATCATCTAGATAAAAAGCAGACATTATTTTTAAAAAATAATGATTTTTTTTTGATAATCATCAAAAAATAAAAATAAAAATATATATGGCTTATCAAAAATGAAACATTTTGTATTTGTTTGAGGCAATTTAAGCGTGTCTGGATTTTAAAGTTTTTTTATTTTTATAATTAACAAACATTTTAAATGCCTTAAATTCAACTAAAAATATATATATTTATTTTTAAATTTTATTTAAGTGTAAACGCTTATCGTGATAAGACCGATACTGATGAAAAACACTAGCGAACTTGGTGATGAATAGCTATAAACTACCCGATGGCCATTTAGCGCATCACGATATTTTACATTTGTTTAATATAAAATTAACAAAAATAAAACTGCTGAAACTGATAAAAGGATTTATTTCCAAGAAAATATTAATGGTTTTCCCAAGAAACAGTAGAAAACAAGGATTGTTAATTGTTATCCATTGCCCAAATATAAACAATTGACGTTATTAAATATGGTTATTCCTGGTGAAGCCCACAAATATAATATATTATATTATAGTTACATTTGATCAATATTCATTAGGGTGTATAAATGTTCGTCATAATTAAGGAAAACGTATTAGTACTTTTCCAATCATATTAGTTTTGATTAAACATTTTCATTAGTGAATAGTTTTGTCTCAGTTACCCGGATGATGCGTGTCAAAATCCTCGAGTCCCCGAAGCACTTAAAATATTAATTAAATATCGTGAATAAAAAAAAAATGTCTAGATAAATAAACAGTAGACAATTGCAGCGTTCATTTATGATAGAGAAACAGATAAATTTAATATTTAAAATGGGATAAAATAATAGATGATTATTATTTTAACCGAATATTACTCACTTATTGAGTTAACGATCTGAAATTATTGAGTTGTATTGGGTGCTCAAAATATGATGCTTGCGAATGACTTACGAAAACGAGAAAAAGAATATTTTTACATCAAAAAAGCCAAACGGATCGGCGGCTGGTTTCTTAAGTACAAAGCATACGTGTCAACGCGACCAAGTGAATCCGCCGAGGGTTTATAAGGTGTGGTAAATGTAAAGCGTAAATCCGCGCGCTCCCGAGGACACGTTGGTCCGTTGGCGCTTTCGGCGGGATCGAGAACGGTCCGAATATTCCCCGCGGCCATCCGCGTAACGAGATACGTAAAAACAGAGAACACTTTCAACTGTCCCCGCCCCGCGTCGGAAACGCGTGTAATAAACCGTGCGGAAAACCGCTCGCCGACCGTGACGGGACGTTTCGATTAGGGTCGGCGAGAGGGTAGTTGAAAGGTTCTCCGTCCGGCCACGGCTCGAGAAAAACGAAATAAAACGGGTGACCGGGACACGAGCCCCGCGTCACAGTGTTAACGGCAACAGTGTTAACGGCAACGGTACGCGCGTTCAGCTCGCGGCACTCGACCGTCAGATAAGATAACGACGGCGGCGGCGGCGAACAGCTACTGCGCACGGGACGGGTAGTGTTGCGTTGACGACGTGTCCGTCGGGTCGCCGCGCACGTTTTTTTTCCGTCATCGGTCTAGTGTGTCGGGCAGCAGCAGCAGCCATGTCGCCGCTCGCCGCGGCCGCGCTACTGGTGTACTACGTGCTGTCCCCGGGCTCGCGGCCGGTCCACGGTCACGGTGCTGGCTGCGCGGCCGCGTGCAGGCTGCCGGCGGCCACGCGGCCCGAGTCGTACGAGCTGCGGTTGGAGCCGCGCACCGTCTGGCCCGCGGCCGCGTTCAACGGCGTGGCCAGGATAGCGATACGCGCACGCCACGCCACGGACGTGATCACGTTGAACGCGAAGGACCTGGACGTGATCAGCGCGACGGTGACGGACTCGCGGCTCGGCGCCGACGTCGCGGTCGACCGGCTGGTGCACCGGCCGGCGGACGAGCAGTTCGAGATCCGTCTGGCCGCGCGCGTGGCGGCCGACCGCGCGTACGTGGTGACCGTGTCGTACGGCGGCACGGTGCGCAACGACTCCACCGGCCTGTTCGCCATTTCCTACGGCGAGGAACCGGTGACCGCCAAGTGAGTGTGCACCCCCCCTCACAAGTTATACTTCGGTACGGCCGTAGACGCGCCCATCGGACGCTCCCGAATCGTATCGTCCTCATCTCAAGTCCGAACGGTCGTGGCTCTGATTTCTGGAACGGAACCTTTTCTCCACGAAAAAATGTTTACAGAAAAAAAAAAACGTACGAGATACTGTGGTTCGGTCGGTTACCGCGTGGACTAGAAACGATTACCGAGTTCCTACTTGTTGTTAGCGTTCTGCAGGCGTTCCGTAATTTTCAAAACGATTTATCTCATCGACATCTGCGCTGTTGCGCAGGCGCTTGAAATTATCGGTTAAAAGTTCAATAGCCAACTTTGGTACCAAACCGAACGTAAAGAAATCACAAAAAATGCAGGGCGAAATTGGCAACCGTTCGAATTGCGCGCACGCACACCACGTACTGTAGAAACTCGATTAACAGAAATTTTGCAATAAACGTACACATTTTACGTGTGTATTTTCACAAAACACGATGCACGTATATACTACCGATAGCCAACCGAACACAACTGAACCGAAACCGTCGATTTTAACCAAAATAATCTGTTTTTTTTTTTCGTTTTCCTGACGCTCGAGCTTTTTTAGTTGCAATATTTCGTATTTTATGTAACCGTAAGACCGGATAATATATTTTAATTTGTTCGTTCGCGTCGCGTTTTTCGGGGTGTTCTCATGGATATCAGAAAAAATGTGTATACGTTTGATAGTTGCCGCAACGAATTTCATTAACGATAGCGATGACGAAGAACAGAGAGGGACTGTTAATCGAGTTTCTACTGCATATAAATGTGGTATAAATGTAAGTTCTAGTGGGATTGTAGCGTATCTTCAATATACGATGTCACGTGAATCACTGTGCCCGGTCTGAGTCTTGATAGGGTAAGTGCTATTACAGCGAAACCGACATGTATGCGAAATCCGTTTACAATCGATTTACGATGTCTGCGCGATGAGCGGTTTACTCGTAATACTAATGCACCGTTGTCCCTCGATCGCGAACGTCGGCAAAAGCTTTCTTAACCGTTCCGTTTTTCCCCTCCACGCGCACACCTATTACAGCGTTACAAATGCAACAGGTGGTTGGTGGTGACGGATTTCGAGCCGACGTACGCGAGGAGAGTTTTTCCGTGTTACGACGAACCCGTGTACAAAGTCGTGTTTAATATATCCGTGGTGAAGAAAAAGAACCAGATCGCGCTGTCCAACATGCCGATCCGGGCCATCGAACACGGGTGAGTGGATATAACAAAGAAAACGGTGAGCTGGTAAGATTTTAAGTGAGTTTACATTGGGTACCGGCAACTAGTGGCCCACGTAACTTTTTACCGCTGTCCTTTAAATAACTCTTACGGTACTTTGAATTTTCACTCAATAGTTACATACGTATATGTACATATTAAGTATTCAGTTTCGTCGGAATTATAGTAAATGAGAAAAACCAACCAATAGCACTATTTTATAGTATTATGATTTTTGTTATCAACAGTTCTATTGGTGTTAGATGATAAAATTGTATTTTTTATAATGTCTATTTAGATTTTCAACTTAGTAATAGGGAAAGTACAGTCGTAGCGGTAAATAAATTTCGTGCATTGAACACTTAAATGTATACATAAGTGTCGATTGTAATTGAATTATTGCGTATTATTCTGCATGTTTTCCAATCTTGTTATCAGCTATTGTTCTGTACACTGCAGTTTTATCGAAAAGCGCAGTAAATCATGTTTGTTATAATTGTTCTTTAAGGATGTGATTCGTTGATTTATTCCCTTAATAAATCGTGGACCCAATATACTATATTTATTTAAATAAATAAGGCATAATAAATAACTAAAAATTGTATGTTAGGATTACGATTCGGAATTCATGGTTTTTTTTTTTTAGTACATTCTTGCAGTTTTGCAATGATATAGTACTTATAAAATATCAACGCTATCATTATACTGATAATATAATAATGATACGGATATATTATTTTAAGATCGACTGATATAGTGCAATAAACTTCAACGTAGCGTGTCTGATACATGAACATATTTCATTGATAAATAAATAAGTATACAAGCTTAGATGTTTAAAGAAGTGTGATAAACCGCGTATGAGAAGCCGCACAATTATTATCACAATAATTAGAAAACCATGGCTGTTATATATTTTTTTCTGTAGTTAAACGTGTTTAATATTCGAATTTGAAATATAAAATAAAAACACGAAGGCATTGAAAAAAATCCAAAAATAAATATAAAACAATCATAATCATTGTAGAAGACTGGCCATTAGTTTTGACCGAGAGTTTTGATTAAATTTCAATAATGTAAAATCACGATTTTAGTCCAGACGACACGGAAACGGTTTATTTTGAGAGCACTCCGCCGATGTCCACTTACTTGGTGGCCATCTACGTGGGCGAATTCGAACCGAGCAAGAATTATTCGAAAATCACGGCTTACACGCAGAATATGTACATGAACCAGACCGAGTACATCGGTGTCGAAGCGTCGAAACGGCTTCAGGTGATGGAAGAGTATACGGGAATCGAGTACACGCTTCCCAAAATGGACATGCTGGTCATACCAGATTTTAGAGCGGGGATGGAAAATTGGGGACTAAATATTTTTCGGTAAGACGCGTCTCGTTAGTTCCACAGGTACGATAGTACTTCGACGGGCCTCCGGACGACATTAATTTTAAGGCTTTACTATCTGTTTATTTTTTGTAATTTAATTTTGCTATCCATGCAGTGAGAATTACATCCGGCTGCAGGAGAACTCGACAACCGCTGTGAAGATGAGCGTATTCAAGCTTGTGCAGCACGAGTTCGCTCATCAGTGGTTCGGTAACCTGGTAACCTGCGAGTGGTGGGACTATTTATGGCTGAACGAGGGTTTCGCCACATATTTCGAGTACTTCGCCACTAAAATGGTAATCGTTCGTGTATTTTCTTCATCAGAATGATGTTTATTACTCGTACCTAAACGTCAAAAACCCCGTCCGAAGTTACTGATGAGTGTGTTATAGGTTTGCCCGAGCTGGCCGATGGAAGAACTGTTTGTAATTGAAATACACCAAAGTGCTTTGTCATACGACCAGACGGCCAGGCGCTCGATAACTTCATCGGTATGCACTCAGGATGAAATCGAAGATCAATTCGACGTGATAACGTACAAGAAGTCACCGGCGGTTCTGAGAATGTTGAGATACTTAGTGACCGAAAAACTCTTTCAGTTGTCCCTTCGACATTACTTGAACGTTAATAGGTATATGCGATTAAATGGTATACTCGAGTAAGAGAACCGAGCAGCTTGTATTAATAGGAAAAAATGCTTAAATAATCGGAAAGTGGTATCAAATCTAGACCCGGGTAAACGGTCAGGTGAAATTGTAATAATTTAAATAATTACATATTTTTAGACGGATATCAATATTATAAAAAAAATTTTTTGTATGGTTATTAAATTATTAAATTGACTTATATATTTTTTGATTTTATATTTCATGCACAAAATCAAATATATTTATTTTGTTTGTTACTGATAAACCGGATTTCAGTTTACTTTTAATTCTATAAAACTAACACTTGTTTATACACCACTCTCCACCATAAATGTTGCACAATTGTAAAACAATTGTATTTTTCTATTGGCTATTGTTTGAATGATAAAACATACACTTATCTATTAAGTAAGAAACATGTTGTAGTGATCACCTGAACAATATTTATTATATGATTAGAGAAATATTAATGAAGATAAATTAATTTAAAATTGAATTTTAACAATATCATTAAAACTTTTTTTTTCTTGCTATAAGGTATTATTATAACAATAAATCGTTAAGGTTTTAAATATTAAAACTTTTGAATTCAAACATTGTAATATTTATGGAAATTTTATAATATCGAAAATTTATTGAAAATTTTTAAATTGACTCGACCTCAATCCAGTTATTGGTAAATTTTGCTAGAAGTCGTTACTTGACATGACAGGTTTTGCTCGAGTACTCTAAACCCTTGCCGGTCACAATTTCATGTTATGGTACAGTTAGGCCAGTTTAATTTAAGAACCAAAAATACATATTTAAACATATAATTTTGCTTTAAATGTATGATCAGAATGTCAATTAGTTACTGATTTATGATCAGTATAATCTAATGATTTGATATTATTTATTTGTCAATCATAAAATGCCAATAATGTTTATAATTGTATATATAATTGTTAAATCTATTTCAAAGAGAAAGCGTGGCAGAACCAAATGACTTGTATTCGTCTTTCGACCATGTATTGAATGATAATGACTATGACTTGGGCAATGAACTGACCGTCAACGAGTTTATGTCGAATTGGACATTACAGCCGGGATATCCAGTGCTGAGGATTACGAAAAATAATATTTCTAACACGTTTTCAGTGACTCAAGTAATTAAATTAATTTCGTACATTTAAAAAATAACTATACAATATACTATTAAGCCCAATACATAAATAAATAAAAAATGCACGTCAATTCGTAAAGTAAAAATGTAAAAATTTATAAGTATTTATTTTATTTCGCTTTTACATACCGACAACTTTTACAAAAATTCTGTAAAAATATTGAAGGAAAAAAAATTCGAATGGAAAATGTAAGTTTGGATTCATTTTACGTTTTGAACAATATCAAACACATTACCGAAATAAATAAAATGTATCAATATGAAATGATGAAACCGCATAATCAAAAAAATTACTTAATTTTAAAAACTAAAATTATTGTTCAACATCAAATGATTGTACAGTGATTTTTTTTCTAAAATAGTGAATTAAATTTTTTTATATTGAATTACGTATAAATATAATACGGTAGTTTTTTCATGTTATGTTAATTACATTTTTTAGAGTCGATTCATCAATCACGAAAAGCTTGGAGAGACGACTCCTCCAGCATGGCACATCGGTCTTACGTTCACAACCGAATCGAGTAAGGATTTCAATTACACACGACCGTGTTTTTGGACAAACAAAACATCAACTTTGACCATTATACCTGCACCTGAAAATTCAGGGTGGTTCTTATTTAACATCAAATCGAGTGGTAAGTGGTGAAACGATGTGTGTCATCAAAACATCGTAATAGTGTTTCAAAATCAGGTAGCCTATACCCGTTATTCTCTTTGGCAAACTGAAAATCAATCTTAGAACCGATTTACCGACTTCTATAAATGTACTAAGCACGTCACATCGAGGAATACTTATTTGCCGACGGTTTCGTTGAAACGACGATCAAAACGTCCTCGGCAGCCATAATGCTCCGCCGAGTGCACAATAATATATATGCGATACACGGATAACATTTTATTTGTGTATTTGTTTTTTACCTCGTAAATAGGCTGCCTGAGTGGAATTCGATGTTTATTTTCATGCAGGTTTCTACAGGGTGAACTACGACGTGGACAACTGGATGGCGCTGATCAAACAGCTGAGGGAAGCGCCCGCGGAGATACACGTGTTGAACCGCGCGCAGTTGATAGACGACGCGTTCAATTTGGCGGGCGCGGGCCAGTTGGACTATTCGGTGCCGTTACGCCTGGCCGAGTACCTGCAAAACGAGAACAACACCCTGCCGTGGCGTTCGGCCATGGAAAGTTTTTCGAACATAATTATACTCAAAGACAACGATAGAGGGTACACGAGCTTAATGGTAAATTATCGTTTGCAATCGTCCCTAATGTGTGTGTGTGTGTGTGTGTGTGGGCGCAATAGGCGCAACTAGGGGGGCGCAATAGGGTTTTTAGCACCCCAGAGTTCAAATGGAGCACTCCTGTTTTTTTTTTTCAGATCTATATAATCTATAGTCATCACAGTTAAACATCGTTTAATTTAATTTTCAGCAACTTCAGCATCCCCAATATTTGGGCTCTAGTTGCGCCCATGGTGTGGGTGCGTGACGATTGTGGACGGATTTTTTTCACTGTTACGATTGCGTACGTTCTGCCTATCAAAACGTAATGCAACTTTGTCGTTGTTCGCAACCGTGAAAACGTTCAATATAACATATTTTAGGAAATCATTGCTTATATTTAATAGTTTCGTAAATGTTACTGGAATTATTATTCCCAGGTCAAACACGGATCCGATGGAGCAGAGGGGACGAAGGGGGGTGTCCCTCAAATATTTTTTTTGTGTACAGCAAAAAAAAAACTATTCAATTATTTTTATTGATTATTTAAGAATACTAAAGACATTTCGTGTATCAATAAAATTTATTTATTTAGATCATGCCAGGCTGCAGTACACTGGAATATAATAGATTGAAATAAGATAGAACTTACAGTAAAAATATTAAAAATAGACAAAATAAAACAAATAAAACTATAATATTATAGGTATAAACGGACTAAAGTGTAATAAATAGACCGTTTATTGGTAATTTATTTGGTGATTTGAGCCTCAATAAAATAATATAAACGTTGTGTCATAATTATTGTGTCGTATCTTGTATCAATCGATAATATTGTACGGTGTACTGCAATACAAATTATTGAAACGTTATCCTAGTTACTGCAGCAAATCGTTGACCGTCGCATGTCACAAGTCGTCTCGACCATTTGTTATAATGTTATACAATAATCCAATATGGGTAAAATATACACGTCAACAATTATAGTATAATATTAATACCTATTCGTATTTTTGTACATGTTGAAATGTTGCGCTCATTTTCTTACGCAATCGTAATGTTCTTAAGGGTAGAGAAATCATACGAGTATACCACCGGTGTACATGACGCATACACCCCCTTTGTGTTTCGCGTTTTTATCTTTCCTTTTCGCTCGCAGCCCCAGGTGATCAGATTGGCCGGAATCCTGTCCGCAAAACTCAAATTACTCGAGTCGAACGACAACAGTTTGTTCATATTAAGGAGATCTTGGTTCGCGGTTTTAAGTAAAGCGTGTAAATTACTGAATATGGATTATTGTCCGAAGAAAACGCAGGAGAAATTCGAGAGAAAGAAAATGCCAGAAAAGTCAGTTGACAACTTATCATACGAGTTTATTACTATATTATTGTCCTTACTTGTTATAACGAACTTGTTTGCGTGTTTTAGGACGTCCGACGTTACCAACACCGTTGCTTTTAAGGTGAGCGAAAAGGCTTCAATCGTGCTTCCAGCCGAGACTTCAGATTTGACTAGTGCACGACAAAATGCCCATTAAACCCATTTTACAAATTTCTAATCGAGAACGAATTTAATTAGTGACTATCGTGTTAGTCCATAAGAATTAAACATAACGATTTTATTTTTCGATGAAAATGGAGTGATTTTTTTATATATATATATATATATACTTAATGTACACAATTGATTTCCCGTGGTTATTTTTAAATTCCAATTTCAATTTGTTTTATTAATATTTTTGACTAAGAGGGCTATTTATATTTTATTATTTACGTTGAATACTTAGCAAAGTCATGAAATTTTAGAGTCCATATTTTAAAAAATATTAAATAGTATCAATTAATTAGCGGTAACTAATTCTATTATTATACACTCAGACTTGCGATGGTAAAATTTCCTATCAATACAAAATAAAGGAGAAAAAAGCCATATATCTATTACTGTAATATTATTTTAACTAATATTTATGTAAAAATGTATTTTATTAGACAATTAAATGAATCTTATTATATATTTGAATAAAATAAAAATTTGAAAACACAATGTGTAATAATGTTACCTCGTCTCAATAGCGTTTTGAATTATTTACCCAATAGTATTTTCTAAATTGAATACTGTTTCGTAGAATTCAGAACGTTTACGTGCGCAGACTTCAGTAAAGTGTGTTCGAACACGCTTGTCGACTACTTGCATTGCATATTATCGACAATGGTTAAGACTGTTGAACGGTTACTGTTGATTTGAATCCGTACTATAACAGGTATGAGGTAAACCACCGGGGTCGGTCGAGACGGTGAAAGACATGAGCACTAAAATGAGATAAGAAAAAAAAAAGTCGTATGGTACAAAAGCACCAAAATCGTATCGTACGAAAGCGCCAAAATCGTAGGTACCTCATTGTTCCGTTCATATAGTAATTGATGTATAATTAAAATTACATATTTATTTATGAACTCTCCTCCTATCAATAAATTAAGGATATCCCACGAAGAAATAATTGTTCAATGGAAGAAATACCAGTATGGTGAAATAAATCGTACAGAATACGTGAAAAGAGTGGGATTAAAAAAAAAAAATCAACCAATTTATTGAATTATTACGTTTATATTGATTTTCATGTATATTATAATTTGTTATCGACATGATAATTGTATATAATATAATTTTTATAAAATATATCAATTTTTAAATAACTACCTACTAATTTTGGCAGTTATGTCATATGTCGGGTAAAACAGGTATACAATATTATTGGCGCTTATGTCCTGCAGATCTTGGCGCAAATGATAGGTCATTTTTGTACCTTTGACGCTTATGTCAGCCGGTCGAACAATGCGGAAGACGTGTTCGAGCACGTGACACCCATAATCGACATGACGACGAGTTTCCAGTTCACGGTGTGCGCGTAATCATATTAGGCTTGACCGTGAATCGGATGGAATTCGACCTCGTTACAATGAACCGACTCGAGCGTAGCCACTGGATAAGGCGCCGGCCAACACGCGAGACCATAATGAGCGTTATCGTCAGGGCCGGCGTTAGGGGAAGGCAAAACGGAGCATTTGCCCGAGGCCTCGCTCTTAAAACTTTAATTGAAAATTATTTTGCATGGAAATCTCATAGAATAAAACGTGAAACCTGTGGATCAACTGGCGAGTGCGATTTCTTGAGAAATCTGTTGGCATATAACAAAACAATATTATATTATATTTAATACGTCACGAATGCATCAACGACGATCCGTACGGTACGTCATATGGTATGAAAACCGGGATACTTAGAAAGTTCATCTTATCGCATTTCTTAAATTTATGTAGGAAATAAATCAATTTATTTATTTTTTAAGTTTAGTTATTACCCGATATATCGTGCAACTGTCACCGAGTCTGATTACATATCATCGTATTTAATTACAGCCTAGAGGTCTACAGGTGACTATGGTTATTGGCAAAATAAGTTTTGCTCAGGACCTCTCAAAAGGTAGCGCCGGCCCTGGTTATCGCACAGCGACGGGTTTCGGAAGTGCATAGAAACCGAGTGTTGTGTGACCAAGCACATGTGATTCGCTACACTTCGTTTCCCGGTCGCCGTGTTTCGGTACCACTACGTCGAGAGTGATGAGCGTACGAAATGAACGCATACGTCCACGTCAGTGGCGTATTTATGGGGGGGGGGTCCAGGGGTACTGGACCCCCCCAGAACCTCTCCAAAAAATAAATAAATTAACATATTATTAATATATTAATTATGTATAAACTGTGGACCCCCCCCCAGAAAAAATTGAAAATACGCCACTGGTTCACGTATTATGATTATATCTCGTTAGGAATAGGGATATCAATGTCGACCTAAGGGACGACGTTTATAACATCGATATAAAAAACCTCTGACATCAGTCACGATGTAATTATTGAGTTTTTAGTATCGTCAAAAACCGATATTAGTACATTTATCGAAAAAAATAAAACCGAAAAAATACGAAAATCATCCGTACATACGGCGGCTCAATACAAGAGTATGATCAAGTGGCCACAAAACGGAAACGACACAGGTAAAAAACAAAAGAAACGCAGGCCGAAAAGTCTTTGGCTGAAATATCAGCTTGTCACGTGCTTAAATTATTAAATATTTAAAATACCATAATTGGTGATCTTCAAATAACCAAAGTAATCGTTTCGTAAATGTTGTAAGTGCGAACGCGTATCACCGTTGAGTGCTGGGCGATAGCCGCCGCTTTCGGACGAAAATCGTCGTCGCCCAGACTACTTTATATGATATTGTACACATCGCATTAGGCCGCACGAACGTGCGCGTGCGGATACGATTATGCCGTGGTATCCGGCAAGCCTATGGACCGTCAAAACATATAAATATCAATGATGATTTTTCCCGAACCAAAATCTGAACGGTTTACCCGCGGCTACCGATTACGAGATGAGGAATTTTATCGTTGCCGATTAACGCTAGTGTCTTATTTAATCGCGTGCGTCCTAAACCGCGATTGTACGCAAACATTTGGACGACAACAAAATATAATAATAATATATCAAAAATAAATGGTACAGGAACAGACGTATATACTTTTCCGTTAGTGCGACACACTCCCTTTCGTCAGCGCCCACCAGCCGCCACAGCGGATCCCAACAACAACATACGTACCCGCGGTAGAATATACGAGTGTTTGCACGGAACGCACAAGCGGTGAACGTTCGTCGTCGATTCCCTTCGGAAACGATTGCGTTCTTTTCGCGCGCGCACCGAACGGGCTTAAAAGCGCGCCCGCACTATGCCGATATATGTCCATCTTGATGTATTGCCACTCGGCTTTCTATGATCCGGACCGACACTTTTCGGGTTCGGCCTGGTAAGCCAATTGGCAAAACTTTGTCAAATGGCACGTGCCAACAAAAAGTCCACATCGCTCTTGGCAATGCCATTTGGAAAAGCCACACTTACACTTGCACGCGCGCGGCCACTTGACTCGGACGACGGCGCGCGCACGATAAGATACGCACCGAAACCTCTTCGACGGTAGACGACGAGAAAACGATATCGCCACACCCGCGACCGCACCCGTCGCGTAACCGAGTCTGATCCTGAACACACCGTCATGCGGACGTTCGCAATCCCGACGCTGTTCCTCGCCCTGGTCCGTCTGTTCCCGTTCGGGACGCAGGCCGCTGGCTCGGGGTACGCAACTGCGCACAGGTTGCCGACCGACACGCGACCCGAGTCGTATGAGCTGCGTTTCGTGCTGCCGGACCTCGACGGGACCGAATCCACGTTCGCCGGCGTGACCAAGATTACTGTGGCCGTGCTGCGGACGGTCGACGCGATCACGTTGAACCTAAAAGACCTGGAGGTGACCAACGTTACGGTGACAGACGTCAAGCTATGCAGGGACGTGGTAGTTCGTGAACTGGAATATCGGTCTGGCGACGAGCAATTGGAAATCCGTCTCGGGAGGCCGGTGCTCGCGGACCGGAACTACTCAGTGACCGTGTCGTACGGAGGGAGGATCCGGACCGACGACACCGGGCTGTACAAGAGCTCCTACGCGGAAGGCGACGCGATCAAGTAACGGGGACTTTGTGTGAAAACGGAACGGGGTGATTATTAACGTGACGTTGACGTCGGTTCGCAGGTGGTTGGCCGTGACGCAGTTTCAACCGGTGTACGCGCGGAGAGCGTTCCCGTGTTACGATGAGCCCGCGTACAAAGCCGTCTACGACGTGTCCGTGGTGAAAAAGAAGCATCAGATCGCCCTGTCCAACATGCCGGTACGGGAGATAGTGCCCGGGTGAGTGTGAACGACCCTTAAGCCGGGTTTACACGGCGCGAATCTAATGCGCGAGGCAAGATTCGCGAGGCTGCTTCGCGAGACATCTGATTCACCTAAATGTTTACACGATACGTATCTATGCGTGGAGCAATGTGCTTCAGGGCGAGCCACAGTTAATGCCAGGCAGCGATACGTGTGCCAGTATCTTGATTTTGATCCATGGCGCTACGTGCGAAGCAAGACGCTCAAAGGAGTAGTTCACACGACGCGAAACAAAAGTGCGAATCTTCTTCGACGCGCGTCCAAATACCGACTATCCTCGCTTGACTCGTTTATTACCCGAGGCAAGTTCAGACAGATACGAAGCATGTCGAATTTTGACTCGCGCATCATATTCGCGTCGTGTAAACCCGGCTCAAAGCCGTTACGCGTCGTACCACGAGTGATCGCCAACGGAGTAACGTTAACTTCGCCAACTTCGCCGGGCGGTGTGAACGGAAACGGCTTTTGCCTTTTGCGAGCGGCACAAAGGTTCTTTAACCGCTGCCGGAAAAGTTCAGGGGCATATGGAACAGGGGATCGATTGTTTTTATTTACGATCGTCACGTTTAGGTATAGGTCCTTAGGAATTTTTGGATTTTAACCGTGCATCAAGGTTAACACGTACATCGGTATTGGTGTGAAGCAACGGATTATGAGCATCGAAATCATTGCCCGATTCGAGTATATATTTTAATTGTATTATACTATCCGAAAATCAATTTGAGTGGTCGGTTTGATTAAAAATTAATTTAACCGTAGTGCCTATAGGTATATTTTAATTCGAATCTAAATTTTTTGTTTAAAAATATTATACGATTATCTTACAGTAAAACAAAATGTCGCTCGAAGATATTTTTATGATCACTTTAGTACTTGATTAGCAGAAAATAAAAATAAATTGCATACATTGAGACATAAATATTAGTCAAGTGTACATGGACTTTAAGTATTTTGTGTATTAAATATTGTAGTGGAATTAAAAATGAATTTATCAAAATATGTGGATAAACTAACATATGTCACGTAATCGCAAAGAACAACTAAATATTATTCTTAATTTATATACACACATGCACAAATGGATTTGTTATCTCTATCTACTGTCTTAAGCGTTAATTAATTTTTATAGTATAATCATTGAGAGCTTTAGTCCCACAATCAACTTAATATTATACCTATGGTCGGATTAATAATATAAATTTCATTGTTTAGTTTGTACTATGACATTAAATTTACAATGACGTATTCTAACGACATTCGAAGTATTCAATATCTTAAATTCGTAAATACCAATGTTTGAATGGAAACATGCTATCTCGTATAATCATAATTAATCGTTTCTTAGCTAGTTAATTCCTTTCTTCCATCATACAACTCTATAATTCTGATTAACCTTAATCATAGTTTAATATTTTTTTTTATTTTATACTAATATCAAAGGTATGAAAGTTATCGATAAAATAATGAAAGATAAATAATTGTAATAATAATTAGTAACTGATTTCAATAATGAAATTATTATACACGAACTACTATACAATACATTGTATCATTAAATTGAAAATAATTTCTAGACAAAACGGTACGGACGTGGTATACTTTGAGAGTACCCCGCCAATGTCGAGTTATTTGGTAGCCATTTATGTGGGCGAATTCATTCCGAACCGCTTTGATTCACAAATAACGATTTACACACACAAAACATACATCAACCAAACCAGTTACATCGGGGCCGAAGCTCCAAAACATTTAAACGCGTTGTCGGACTACACGGGCATCAAGTATACTCTTCCAAAAATGGATCTTTTAGCTGTACCTGATCTAAGTTTCGGAGCAATGGAAAATTGGGGAATTAACACTTACCGGTAAGCATTGATATAACAGGGCAGTTTCGCCGGTTGGTCGGTATGCTGTCTTATCGCTGCGAACAATATTGTGATTTTTGAACAAACACGCGCAGAGAAAAGTATCTGTTGTTGCACGACGAGACGAAAACAAAAATGAAAATGACCGCATCGATAATTGTGCAACACGAGTTCACGCACCAGTGGTTTGGTAATCTAGTGACCTGCGCATGGTGGGATTATACGTGGTTAAACGAGGGTTTTGCGGAGTACTTCCAATACTTCGCTACAAAACTGGTACAGTCAAACGATTTTGTCGGAAGAACATTTTTGTTGTGCTAACGTTCCGTCATTGATATTGTTTGTAATAGGTAAGACCAAATTGGCCGGTTGAAGAAATGTTTTTGATCGAAGCGCATCAGAGTGCGTTGTCATACGACCAGGAGCCCAGGCATCCGATTACTACATCGGTAAACACTCCCGATGAAATCGATAGCGTATTCGACTGGATAACCTACAAGAAAGCGGCGTCAGTTCTGAGGATGTTGAGATACTTGGTAACCGAAGAATTATTCCAGTTATCACTTCGCAATTATTTGAATAAATATAGGTAACGTTGTACTTTTACCGTATATCCACTTTCCAACTTATAATAACAATAATAATAGTAATCGATTAATCGATTAGTTTATAATTAATGTACGCGCAACATGTTAATGTTACATTGTTGATGGCGATCACAATGTTAACATCATTTCAATGAATACGATTGTAATTTTTAAGAGAGAAATATGTGGCGAAGCCAATGGACTTGTTCGCATCGTTCGACAGTACGTTGTGCGATGAAAACTATACAATCGGAAACGATCTGTCGGTTCACGTATTCATGTCTAATTGGACATTGCAGTCGGGATATCCTGTGTTGAAGATCGCCAAAAATGAAACATCGAACACGTATTCAGTGACTCAAGTAAAGAAATTAATTGTATAATACGATAATATCCATCACGCATATATCGCGGTATCGGAAAACAAGTAATACTGCGAGACTTGCAGGTATTAAATTAAACCAATCCTTTAAGCTCATCCTATTGGTGTCGCGCACGATTTAAGTGCCAAGTATAGCGTGTCCATTGGGGTAAGTGATTTATTCCGTCAAACATACACAATACAACAACCCGCGTTGCACACGCTCGTTCGTGACATTATCACGAAATGTGTTTGCCGTTATGATGCACGTTTCGTTTTTCTTAATTATCCGGCTGTTGCTGAACAGCTCTAATTCTTCCATTGACATTGCGACAGAATCGATTTCTGATCGAACTGGCCGACGGCGGGAGCATAGACGACGGTGCGGCGTGGCATGTTGGCCTTACGTTCACCACCGAAAGGGACAAGAACTTCACTCGCACCAGACCGTTGTTTTGGACGGACAGGATATCGAAATCGACCGAGGTACCGGCGCCCCCGAACTCCGGATGGTACATCTTCAACGTACGGTCCATCGGTAATAGCTCCGGAAAACTAACGCGTACCACGGACTGATCTGTACGTCGTTTCTTGTTAGGTTTTTACAGGGTTAACTACGACATGGACAACTGGATAGCGCTAATCGAGCAGCTAAACCGATCGCCCGCCGACATCCACGTGCTCAACCGCGCCCAGCTGATATCCGACTCGTTCAACTTGGCGCGGGCCGGACACTTGAACTACACGGTTCCGCTGCTCCTGTCCAAATACCTGAGAAACGAGAACAGCGTCACGCCGTGGTACTCGGTCAAGGATTGTTTTTCCTACCTGCTGGAACACATGTCCTACGGTGTGAACGGGCACGAAGCCCTGAAAGTATGCATAGCCCTACATGCGCCGCGACACGATCAAAGGGTCGGCAACGGGGGAAAATGAGGGGCGGGGGAAGGAATGAACAATGGTACCCTAACGCGAAATGTCGGGATCCATGCGTTGGGTAAAACACGATTACGTACGCTCGTTATCGGTGATATCTACACGATTCCGTACGATTTTACCTGATTTTTAACTACACGATTCCGTACGAAGTTTTAAGCATTGATTCCAGTTTTAATATCGGTATTGGTATATACCACATGCCTATACGAGTGAACTAAAAAAAGTTAATAAATTCTTTGTGTTTGATCGCTTTTATTACCTATGTTTATTATTAATGGTATCAAATTTATCAGTTATAACGAAATTTCATTATTTCTATTATATCATACGGTATTTTCCGAGATCCAGTAAAAGTAGTAGGTTACAGATGTTGGGAAATCCAAATTTAAGCGTTATCAAATAATTTATAAATTTTATTTATTTATCAATTACTTTTCATTTAATTAGTCACCCTCATTTTTTTATTATTTTATTATTTTTTTTTTTTTTATGAATTATTAAAGAACTGTTAAACATTGTGAAATGTACACGTATTACGTATATTATTATTTACCTATTCATTAGATATAATACAGTGAGATTAGTAAATTAGTAATTTGACAACGTTGTGTACAATTTCATACGCAATCGTGTTTATTTATTTTTCTCATCCACCTTTTTGTTACCCGTCTAAAAACGTATGCAATCGTGTTACCAAAAAGGAAAAGCATACGTGATCGTGTTCTACCCCATGCGTTTAGGCGTACGTCAGTCGATTGGCCGGGATAGTTTACAACAAGCTGGAGACGCATGTGACGAGCGGAGATGATGGGTACTACGTAAAAAGTGCGTGGGACGCTTTCTCGAAGTGGGCATGCGAGTTGGACAACAAGGACTGTACGACCAGAGCGCTGGAATATTTCAACAAGTGGCAAACGGGAGAAAGGTACCTTGTACCAGGGCTTGAAATCGATTTCAAAATCGATTTCAAATATCGATAAAAATCGTTAAAAAAATTTTTAGTATATCAAAATCGTTAATGGTTGGTAATGATTTTCAAAATTTATATTGAAATTGAAAAAAGTTAAAATCGATATTTTATATCAAAATCAAAATCATTTTAATAATCAAAACGTTTTTAAATCAAATTAATTTAAAATTCAACAGTTAACAGGTATATTGATATTGTCAATTCGTAGGCATTGCCGTATTTGGTTTGATTACTCGTATACATAATAATAAATAACTAGTACCTATTATGTTTTCTTTGAATATTTACGATAAGGAATCGGCGTCATATTTGTCCCACTTATAATTTAAAATATTGTTCTCATATTTAGTTAAATTATGTCTGAGTCTATGAATAAAAAAACTTTTTTTTACATTTTAATCATTTCACATAGATATATCCTTAGTTTACTTCAGTTTAGTTTCACTTTCATGCTATGTTTTTTCATATTTGAGACACTTTAATAATAATTGTAGTTTGTACGAAATGTTTTATACTATAGGTAATAAAAAAATAGATTTAAATATATACTACCTATATCAGTAGCTCATCGCTGCAGCCTACAACAATATTACGCTAATGATGTACTAAAATTTGAGAAATTATTATAAGTCATGGATAACATTCTGTTGTAAACCCGAAATCGAAAAAAAATAAATTCCGGTTTCTGAAACCGAAATTGAAAAAAATGAATATCGGTATTCGAAATCAAAAATGAAATCGCAAAAAATAAATATCAATATTTGAAACCAAAATCGAAATAAAAAAAATTAATATCAATAATCAAAATTGAAATTAAAATCGAAATTTTTTATTTCAATTTCAAGCTCTGCCTTGTACGGTCGCGCACGTCAGCACGTAAGTTGTAACGCCCCTGTTTTCAGAATACCGGCCGATGTTAAGGACGCGGCTTTTTGTGCGGGCATAAGGAACGACCCTGACACCAGTACCTTTGACAAAATGTTCAGCTTGTACACGACCACCACTTCAATTTCGGAGAAAACGTCCGTTGAATCGGCTCTAGGGTGTTCCGCGAACAGGACTCAATTATACCGGTGCGTTTGACTGACCTTTTCGGTTTTTTTGCAGGTACCGATTGTTAGGACGTGAAAGGATAATTGCTTTGTTCGTTTAATACGCATAAATACGATAAAGTTGTATTACTTTAACGCTCATTATTATCGGTTTAATCATATCATCGTAGTACGGCCAACGCTCACGAGTGATTCGCATCTGATTTCAGGTTCATCAATCATATATTGGATGGACCACAGGGACCAATTAAAGTAAAAGACTTTAAATCGGTCATAGCATCCGTCGCATCAACTTCGCTGGGTCTCGATGTGCTCCACGAATTCTTATCGACGAATTTAAATAGAACTTTAAACGAACTACCCAACGGCCAAGAAATCGCTAAATACATATATTCAATACTAGCTACCAAAATGACTGACCGCGTTCAAATAGAAAAGGTGAGTTTTGTAAAAATTTTATTTTATTTTTTTTTTATAAATCAATTTTCATCGAAATCGAAATCTAAACTTTATTCGTAACCATTTTTCTTCTTTTTTAGAAAATGTTTATAATAAATATAACGTACGTCTGAATTATGATCACATCAGTATAAAATTATTTATTTAATTATTAATTATAAATTATCACTGAACCATATAAAAAGTATTAATTTACAGCGTTTTCAATTATCACACGCGTAAGATAGCAATTTAGTCACGGATTGAATTATATTTCTAACGTAAAGATTGACCAATAATGATACGATAAGAATTCTATATTTATTACGGTCAAATTTTATATAAGTTTATAACAAAAAGTTACAATGTAAAAGGCATTATAATAGAAAAAATGTAAGAAAGTTGATTTTGAGTGTAAAAGAAATTAAATGTAATGTGAACATTTTTACCATAGTATTAGACCATATACAAATCGTTGGATCAATTAAAAACTACACAGCAGGACATAATTTTAAATTATCTTTTATCATTTTGTACTTTTTTAGTCGGTATTTCGACTATTTTAATGTATATTTCATTTATTCCTAACAAATAAGTATAATTTGAGAAAAAAGGTTATTAAACATTTTTTTAATAAATTTATTAATATCACGCTATAATTTGATTTTTAAACTTTTATATCATTTTGCTAACGATTAAATATGATGAACTTGTTTAATTTTTCTATATTTGTATTATTATTTATTAACTGCAGTTTACTGCCGTGTATAGATAAACGTACTTTTTTTAATTAAGTTTAAACCCGTAATTAGCTTGTTAAACTTTTTATTAGTTACAAAATTTGAAAAATACCACCATCATCCCGGAATCAGTGAGACAATCTTTTGAAAAATCGTTTAAGAAAGTCAATGATCGCAAACTGTGGTTGGAAAAATATTCAGAAGTAATTAACCAATGGATGCTTGAAAATCAAGAACCCTTGGAAGAGGAGACAATTACCACCGCAGCCTCCACAGAGTCCACCATAACAACTGAAATTAAGTCCACAGTTTCCTCTATAACTATTAGTGCACCGTTTTCGACTGTCAGTCCGAAACCATCAAATGCAACGTATAACGTGCAAAATTGTCGAACGGTTTTACTAGTTACCATTTTATTATTAATAGTTAATAAATGTATTCTATAAATATGAATAAAAATAACATACCCCAACTTGAATAACTATAATTTAAAATATTATATTAATATTCAACTCACTATGTTTTTGTGATTAATACAAAAATACCAAACTGAAAAGATTACGTATTTTACAAACAATTTATTGAATAAACTTTATTGATATTGCAGCAACTGGTAATGAATCACTAATTCTTTCTCCAAAAAACCGTACAAGTTTTATCGTTGATAATTCTATAATCTGATTTATAAGATATAGGATTATATGTTATAACATAGTGTAATAATAAATTAGTTATAACTACCCAAGCAATATAAAATAGCATTAGATTATCACGTTCTAAGAAACCGATCGAGATGATACGTTTTTTTGTCGTATCAGTCGATATTTTATCACTAGTTGCAGCATGAAAACCTTAACTTATAATACCAATTACGAACTTTTGTTTGATTTAGTAATATGCTATTTTAGAGTAAAATCCAAAACCATAGCTGCTGAATAAATAATGATAATTTATTAAATTGGTTATTGAGGCAGATCCAACTATTTTATAATTTGAAAATCGTTTACGAGATTTGTAGTGATATTGTAGACATTTTTATTAATGGTAAGCGATGTGTCTTATATTTTAAAACTAAATTTAGTGAGAGAAAAAGAGGCCAAAAAAAAAGAAGAAAAAAAGAACCCGGAAACTATGGTTGAAAATTACACTGATTGCAAAACAAAAATGTGAATTTTGAAATTCACAAATCATTATCACCTAATCATTACCTCAAATTATTATTAATGCAATGTCATTACCATTATAACCTAAAATTTATTTGAGTTACAGGGTTCGATAAATATTGACACTCATGTTTAAATTTGCAAATAAAAAGAATTAAAAAAATAGAGAGAAAAAATAATAGTGATTTGTATAAAAACTAATGATAAATTTGATCCTGGTGATTTTTACAAAGTTATGGAAATCGAGAGTTGATGGTGGAAAAACCGAGTCGCATATTGTCTTCTAAATTGTAGAACTATAATATTATATTGTGATTGCAGAATAACTGATTAACGACCCCGGTTTAGTCGATAAAATAATAATAATGCATCAATTCGCTAATCAAAATACTGAACGTGATTATCGGAACTAAAGAGTAAATATAAATAATATGAAGATACTAACTTAAAGGTTTACTGTTTAAATGAAAATTTTGGCCACTACATGATTTTATTAAGATTAATTATTTTTCCCGTGGAGATTAAGTGTCAATCATATACTGGATCCATGTCACCCTGATTGAGAACCACTGAGCTAATGAAATAGAAAAAAACAAAAGTTAGTGTTATAGCCGTAGATCGATTATATGCAAATTGAATTACAAATTGATACTATTTTTTATACTGTGCCAGAGTCTTAAATTATTATGGATGCAAAATAATATTATCTTAAAACGTCGTATGATTTTAATATAGATGAAAAATTATCGATTATTTTTTTCTAGACCTTTGTATAAAATATACTTCATGTAGATATTTTTTTATCAATAATACATACAGAATTATAATATCTTCCATTTTGTATCATTTTGCTATCTGATTATCATAAATAAGCATAATGATAAAGTTGAAAATAATAATTTAGTTATTAAGAAAACAATACAAAATTATGAATTGTAATTCAATTTCAATACTCACAGATTGTCAGTATTAATTCCGAGTTAATAATATTTATTTTAAAACACATATTAGGTATAACGATAATGGTTTTGTGCAGATTATACAGGTTGTATGTATATGTATATAAATAGGTTGTTGGAAAACACACAATTTGCGTCTAACGGTACGAGTCCGAGGTAAAAATTCGAAGGTAACATATTTGTTGGAAGATTTTAATAAAAGGTTTCAAGTAAATAAAAAACGTATGTTCCATAATGAGTTATGAACTTTGTAGTTTTTTATCAACATCACCATTGAGTGTAATATTTTATCTGTAATATATATATACGCACGCAATAGTCGCATTAAATTTAAACAGCTACTCTAAAACTATATAAATGATACATACTACATTATTTTTTATTGTTTTTACGCTACTATTTTTATAGTATGTTGTCTACGCATTATATATGCATAATTATTTATGAACCATCGTAAGGAAAAAAAAAAAAATTAAAAACAACTTATAGTTTTTATTTTTGCAAAATGTATAAAAGTAATTTTGTAAATCATTATACATTTTTATAAATTTTTATTGGTTTTTTTGTTAGGTAGGGTACCAGTTGACGCTCTATTAATTAATACTCTCCTGCCACACCGTTGATCAGCAGTTATAACAACAAAAACAAATCTAAACGTATTATCCGATATGATAATACGACGACCTATAGTTATAACCCACTCGTATTGTACTAGCTAGTTACTCAGTAATAATTACTAGCTGGTTCTATACAGTATATTTATAAAACACATAAAAAACAAAAAATTAAATAAAAACTACGGTCAGATTGGCAACTTGATCCGACTGTACAATCGGCACATTTTTTGGGAAAATTAGATTGAACGCATAAAAATGTATGCATATAATATGTATAAATTATTCGAGTGGAATGCAAAGGTGGTATAAAATAAACAAGCGTTTTGAATGTATTAACTAGGTATATGAATAAAAATATATTCGTGTTAGTTGTTACGTAGTCATAGTTGATTATTATTTATGTTCCCTACGAAACGTATTTTAACCGAACAGTCGATTACTTACATGACAGTAAAATCTGTTTCAAACGGACTTTGAATAAAACGGATTTTTTATTATTATTTATTTATTTTTTATTTTTTTATTCTAGCCATTCCATTGTAAACAAATTGTACTGTATGAAATAAATTACTAACTTACGGGTATAGTATAAGAACACGTATATGTACAAGTCTACAATAACATTATTTCGTTTAATTTGTTCCTACAAAAAATCTCTACATTCTACTGAGTATATACTTCCTGTTATCGTTAGAATTGTAACCGTTGCTAGTAGAAAATCAGTTCCAAGCCAAGAACAACGGCTAATCGGTAATATTTCACGAAAATTTCAATTGAATTAAATTGGTTTAATCATTGCATCGTGTATGTGTTGTTCTTCACATGATCAAATTCTTGTCGACTCGTCTTACCACCCACCTTGAACTTTTTGATTTCCTGCAGATGTCTTGGAGCGATGTCGTCGTTCAGACGTTGTAGGAATGCCAAATTATGTTTTTATTTTATTATTATTTAACGTTTAATTATTTAAATGCACTGCATGCTGAGTGAAATAATAAATTTAAAAATATCATCGGCAAAATAATGGTCTGTGCGGTGTATCGAAAAATATTTATTGGCTCGAACGTGGTACCTGTATCGTAATAATATCTGCTTTGAGCAGGTTAATGAATAATAGTTATCTAATCGGAAATAAAAAAAAATTTTACTGCGTTTTTTTTAACACTGTTTTGGTTTCAGTCCAATAGTATAACTAATCCAACAGTTAGTATACAGATGTAATTTTGCCATCGGGAACATGCTCACCGACGACTATTAATTTGTCAGACAGCCGTTTACGTATGACAAACTTTCTCCGAACAGAAACTATAGTCACTAGTCGATTGCGATTTAACCATTATGTGTTTTTCCTTTTTTTTTTTTTTTTGTGTTTCTGTGTACACGATTTGAATGAGAATAATAGCTCCGATCATCATAAATACGGCAGGTTTTTGATGGGAAATAGGGTGTAGATAGTACTTGAGATAGGTTATATTTTGAATTTTTCAACAGTTTTCCAAATACTCGAGAAAAACGGAGAAAAAAATTATAAAAACTTCAACCGAGATCGAGTTTGTGCTCGTAAAAATTATATTTATCAACAGACCTGTTCAAAATTTTCATTAGAAATACCTAGATAAATAAAAATATATTATATGTATTATATATACATATGATCGAGTTCCATTGAATGAACATCGAGCACACATCTGATAATTAAGTTGAAAAATGGTCATGGGAAAATCTATGATGTACTCGGATACCGTATATCAAAGGCGTTGGCTGTTCTGAGAACGTAGAGATTTTATAGCATAACATATAATTCAGTTATTTTAAGAGATTCATGGATATTATTAATCTTATAGTATATAGTCATATGATATTGCCGGTTTCGATGAAATTAAAATGTTGTTTGATAAATTGATTGCAAAACTCTATATTGTAATATCAAAGTATGATTTTTTTTTATGTTTTTATCAAAACATATGCCCTATAGCTCACGAAAATACTATAATAATTATTATTATAATATTGAGTACAAACATTCATCCGTAGTAAAATGTATGATAAGTTTTCAATCAAAAATCATTTTCGTGTACACGTGGAGCAAAAAGTTTAAAGCATTAAAGTCACTATTGGTACACCAGAACCACACTTAACAAGATCATTCTACTATGTTGCATATTATATCAATTGTACCTACGGAATAATATATTTGTTACTTGTTTCCAGTAGTTACAGTGTCCAGTTTCAGCCGCAGTGGTAGAAAACGTTTGGTTAACCCATTCAATCAAGATACATTGTTTTTGGTTTTAAAATCGAACACATGATCCTTAACTGACCGCTGCGGCACGGCAAGTCTGACTTAAAAATAAACAGCAGATTTTATATGCTGTTTAGTTTAACCGGACCACCAGATTAAACAATCGAATCATCAGTTTATCGCACGTATTCAAATGCACATAAGATCTAGTCACTCACATTGAGCCGCACACCGGAATCAGTTCATCTTACATTATTCTTTTCAAGATATTAATTACAATAATTTGGCAAATGGTTTATGTACGTAAATGTATTGATTGCGTTCATGTTCATATTATCCGGCTTAGTGATATGTTTCTTTTATAATTCCAGATCTAGTAATTTTTTCAGGATAAAAAATTGTAATGAAACACAAAAATACTCGCTCTGGTAATATTTTTTTTTTTTTTATGTTAAGTTAAATTTGTTTCCTTTCGTCATTAATAGAT